TGGTCAGGTCACGGCTCTCACCTGGTTCTTCTATCTGGTGTTGCATTCCAGGCCAACTTTAAGTTAGGCTTGAAGAATATGATCATCTAAAAAATCAAGGAGCACTAATTTTCAGCATCTCCATATAATTTCATCTTTTAAGTCCTTCAAAAGGCAGAAATCACATCTTTGCAAGCACTTCATTAATGTTTCAATTAATAAACCCTAAACAAATGTTGGTTTCCTTTTAGTAAAAAGTGAAAGCTACCTGTAAAATGAGACTCAAAACAATACTCAAAGCATTTCGATTAAAAAGTATACAAAAATGAGATGCAATATCTATAGTATGATATTGCATATATACCATTAGAGTTATAACCATTATAACCATTAAACCATTATAACCTAAAACCATTATAACCATTAGAGTTTTAGTGAAGAGAGAGCAGAATAATCTAAACAGACCGAGGGCAGTCAGTTTAAATAGCTGTGAACTTTCAAATTATATGTGTGAAATCAGATTATTTAAGAGGTTCCTACCTTCTTCCGGCTATCTGGTTGCTTTCAGAGAATCTACTGTTCTAAGATATATCAGGGAATACTTTAACATTTAATACTAGCAGTCCATATTCCTTTATCACTAAAATAAATATAATTACATCTTGGAGGCCCCAGTGTGACAAAATTATCAAAATCCCCACATTATAAGGAATTATGTGTGTCACATTTTTGAACGGCATGCCTGATATTCTTATAAACTTAAAAAAAAAAGCCCTATTTATAATGATGTGCATTTAGGGGATAACTCTTTCCAACTAATGGAATAGCAGACTGGTACTCCTACTGAGAATTAGAAAAGCTGATAACTACAAAAAAATAACTATGGAGCTGTCAAGGCAGCCAGGACTTGAGACAAAAATCCAAGGTAGAAGGCAAACTGAAGAGAACCCAAGGTTCTGCTCACTGTTTTTCTTGTGGGTATTTGCTGATTCTTTTTTTTTTTTTGAGACAGAGTCTCGCTTTGTTGCCCAGGCTAGAGTGAGTGCCGTGGCGTCAGCCTAGCTCACAGCAACCTCAAACTCCTGGGCTCAAGCGATCCTCCTGCCTCAGCCTCCCGAGTAGCTGGGACTACAGGCATGCACCACCATGCCCGGCTAATTTTTTCTATATATATCAGTTGGCCAATTAGTTTCTTTCTATTTATAGTAGAGACGGGGTCTCGCTCTTGCTCAGGCTGGTTTTGAACTCCTGACCTTGAGCAATCCGCCCGCCTCGGCCTCCCAGAGAGCTAGGATTACAGGCGTGAGCCACCGCGCCCGGCCTATTTGCTGATTCTTGAATGCAGAAGACTAAGAAGTCAGGCATGGTGGGGAGAGGCTCACAGCCGTCTCCCTGGGCTTGGGGCAGGGAGACAAATACATATATAATAGGAGCACGGGCATGTGGGATGCTGAGTCAACGAAGGCTTTTGGGAAACCAAGATCCCTGGAAAGAGAGAGGCAGAGAGAAGAAAACCCTATTCCCGGTGATTTTCCCTTGGAGGCATTTGCTAACCTCCTAAGTTGTTCAGGACAAGAGGCTAAAAGCAGGTAAAAAACAAAAACAAAAACAAAAACAACCAGATTGGTGTTTGGGCAGTCTCAAAGTGTTAAGGTAACAAAATACGGTGTTTAGGACATGCTCAGGAGGGGCCTTAGGAAATACACGAGGCTGTAAGTTGAGTCTCTGGAAAGTTACACTTTTGCAAAGGGCTGAACCAGAGGTAGAACCATCCTTAGAACAACTGCAATCCTGCCTCAATCATCTGTTCCTGCCTGCAGATGCACACTTGAGTCCTTTCTAGAGGTAGAAAGCATCAACCATTGCTGTTGTTTTTTTTTTTTTTATATATGTACAAAACAAAAACCGTCCTACAGGTGACTCAGATATTAAAACTGTCAGAAATAGGTTTTATAATAACTATAATTAACATGCTCAAGAAAGAGACAAGATGGAGAATTTCACCAGACAACTGGGATATATGGAAAAAAATCTATATAATAAAAATCATCAAAATTAAGAAAGTTAAGATTGGACATACCTGAAAACTAATGAATTGGAAGATCTGTGGACAATGTGGACTAGCACCTGGAGACCAAAAAGGATGGAGAATACAGAAAAGAGGGTAAGGAAAACACAACATATAGTGAATAAAGTATGAGTCCCGGGAAAAGATAACGGAGGGAGATAGGGCATAAGCCATATGCGAAGAGGCCATTATCAAGAATATTCCCAAATTATGGAAGCCACCAAGCCCCAAGTTTAACATGCACTGCGAACCCAACGCATCACACATGCGCGCTTTCTATCCGTAGACATATCATGGTAAAACTGCTGATACGCAAAGAAAGTGGGGGGAAAACAAAAAGAAGAAAATAAAAAAGACATACTCTCTAAGTGATCCAAAAAGCAGCAGCATTAAGACCCACCAATAAATTAGCTAACTTACCAAGAGTGATGATGGAAACCAGAAGAGAAATGATATCTTTAAAGTGCTGAAAGAAAACTCTAGCCTTCTGGCCGGGCGCGGTGGCTCACGCCTGTAATCCTAGCTCTTGGGAGGCCGAGGCGGGCGGATTGCTCAAGGTCAGGAGTTCAAAACCAGCCTGAGCAAGAGCGAGACCCCGTCTCTACTATAAACAGAAAGAAATTAATTGGCCAACTGATATATATATATAAAAAAAAAATTAGCCGGGCATGGTGGCGCATGCCTGTAGTCCCAGCTACTCGGGAGGCTGAGGCAGAAGGATCGCTCGAGCCCAGGAGATTGAGGTTGCTGTGAGCTAGGCTGACGCCACGGCACTCACTCTAGCCTGGACAACAAAGCGAGACTCTGTCTCAAAAAAAAAAAAAAAAAAAAAAAAAAAAGAAAACTCTAGCCTTCTATAGACAGTAAACATATCCTTCAAGAAAAGAATGCAAAATAAAGACACTTCCGAACATAAACTGAGAGAATGCATTAGCAGACCCACACTAAAAGAAATAATAGAGTTCTTCAGGAAGGAGGAAAAAGACCCCAGATGGAAACATGGTAACATGGGAAAAAATGAAGAACCATTTCATACACAAGCACATATATGATTTCATGACAACAATAAACGGGGGAAGTTGTGAATATTCTAATTTAAATTAGATCTTATTAATTAAAATGTCACTAAAAAAATACCAAGATGTCATGCTAACAGAAGGGGAAAATGGCATAATAAAAATATTTGATCCAAAAGAAGCAAGAAACAAAAGGTACATAAAATTAGCTGGGCAATGAGAAAACAAACAGTAGGATCAAGATGTGAATCCAAATATTACATCAGTAATTACATTAAATGGAACTAGGTTACAGATTCCAATTAAATGACAAAATTATCAGACCACATGTAAAGAAAATCCATATGCTACTATAAGAGATAAGCCCTGAAAAATAGAAATACAAAAGGATTAAAATAAAATGGATAAAAAAGATCATGAAAATATTAACCAAAAGTGACTGATACATCTACATGAATATAACTTTAAAGCCAGGTTTGGTAGAGATAATGAAGGCTATTCCATAAGAATAGAAAGGTCAATCTACCATGAAGACATAATTCTAAATCTATATTCACTTAGTAAACTACTTTCAAAATATATAAAGAAAAAATAGACAAGAGACATGCAAATCTACAATCATAAGGTACTTATCAGGAACTCAGGTAAGAAATCAGTAAGGATATAGGAGATCTGACAAACATGACAGATAAACTTGATCCAACAAAAGCTCCCAATGGTGATAGAATATTCCTTCCAAGCAGACATAGAACATTTCTCAAAATTGACCATATGCTGTGTCAAAATGGGTATCTCAATTATTTTCAAATGTCTGAAAACTATGAGTATGTTTGGTGACCACGTAGAATTATGCATGAAGAGTTAGCAATGTAACTATAAAGTTTAAGTGTTTGGGAACTAAGCAATGTATTTCTAAATAACTCGCAGATTAAATTTAAGCAAAGAATATGCTTTTTGTTCACAACTTTACCAAGAGTCATGCCTTATTTAAGAAAATCACCAACAGCAAACGATTCATGGTACTAGTTCCACTTGTAGTTATTGCATTGTTAGTGATTCTACATCCCTAAATTCAATGATTTTTAAGGTCCTTCTTAACCTTAATATTCTGAAAATTTTTTGGGGGGGGGGTAACGATAATTTCCTAGCACAGCTTTGGTCTATTTTGTAACTAGCACATAGTGGGCACTATATTTGGAACAGTATCTCATTTAAAGGTAATGACCACCCTTATAATAGGTACTACTATTGTCATTGCTTACATGAGGAAATAAATTCAGAGAAGTTATCAAAATTTGCATATCTAGGTCGGGCGAGGTGGCTCACGCCTATAATCCTAGCTCTCTGGGAGGCCGAGGCGGGCGGATTGCTCAAGGTCAGGAGTTCGAAACCAGCCTGAGCAAGAGCGGGACCCCGTCTCTACTATAAATAGAAAGAAATTAATTGGCCAACTGATATATATATATATATAAAAAATTAGCCGGGCATGGTGGCGCATGCCTGTAGTCCCAGCTACTCGGGAGGCTGAGGCAGAAGGATCGCTCGAGCCCAGGAGTTTGAGGTTGCTGTGAGCCAGGCTGACGCCACGGCACTCACTCTAGCCTGGGCAACAAAGCGAGACTCTGTCTCAAAAAAAAAAAAAAAGTTTGCATATCTAGAAAGCACAGAGTTGGATTAACTCCCAAACTCAAGTTCTTTTCACTCAGTCACATACATTACTTTAGTCTAACCTCACTCCTGTATGCAGATAATACTTAACTTTTCTAGCTAATGTAAACATTTGTTAAGAGACCCCTGCCCAACACGGCAAGAGCATGGAGAGATGGAATGTATAAATATAGGTCATTTTTAAAAACACAGGACCAATTAACCAAATGATATCGTTACAAATAGGTGACATTTAAAACCATATTAGAGTAAGTTTCAAGCCACGCAAGTTCACCAAAACAATTTTTTTTTATTTCCAGTGTTTAATTGGGTATGCACACAGGCATGACACAGGTTTGGATTCATTAAGCCCTCATGCAGAATTATATTCCTCTTGATAAAGAAGCCAGTTCCATCCAGGATCCACTATCTACACACCTATGTTACAACATTTATATCAAATCTGGTATCTGAAGAAAAGATACACATTTAATATGTTCATTTAAGTTACGTATTTTACAGAAAGATTAAAAATTCAAGTCACACAAAACTCAAAAACTGTATTAAAAGTTTGAATATAAAACTCAGATCCACCTGGAATGACTAAAGAATGGAAGGTTCTGTATCCACCTGTGTTAAAACTGGCATGTGTAATGAAATTTGTTACCAATAAAACGCAATCATTTATTCAATGTAAGTTATCTAATTTTAACAATATGGCACCCTAAAAACCAAATGTACTTTATGATGAGGCACTTTTGTTAGTGATGAAACCAAAAGAACGAATTGGCTGCACACTAATGCCAGCGATTTTCTTCAGTAATTTGGGGTATATACTATGTAGTAAGTTGCAACAAATACCTTGCTCATTTGTATACAACTATCCGATATATCTTTAAATATATATGTGTGTTCTTCTGGCTGTCGTGATGCACTGTAAAGCTATTCCACAGTGCAAAATGATGAAACCAGCCCAAATGAAGGCTGCATAATAACAATTCTGGTACAAGGAAATATTTACAGAGTTATTGGAACGTGTGATAACAGTAGCTTTTTATTTGCTATGGTGGACGTGCCCGCAGTTTAAAGACAGGGATGAAACTGTGCTTTACCGCCCGGGGTTTCGGACAGTTTCCGAGGCTGGGCATGAACTGCAGCCGTGGCGTTTCGGCTCGAGTTCTGGAAGCTCTCTCCGTTCACCTGGTCGGATGGCTGTGGCGGTGTGGACAGAGGGGGCCTGTGGGTCGAGGCCGAGGTGCTGGAAGAACTGCCTGTGTCTGACTGGAAAGACAAAGGGGCGTCGGCGGCGGGTGTTTCTGGAACTCGGGGGTGCTCGGGCGCGGGGTCCGCGGGGTCGCCCCTCAGGTCGGAGGCGCTGGTGCGCAGGCGCTCGCGGGCGAGCCAGTCCGAGATGCACAGGTCCTGCGCGGGGCACTTGGGTTTCAAGCGGGTCACGGCGGAGAGCTCGGGCTCCCTCCCCGCGCCCTGTTCGTGCGCCCGCCAGAAGCTCAGGACGCTCAGGTCCGCGGCGTCCCGGTGCCCGCCCAGCGTGTGTCTGCGCCTGATGCTCTTCCTCTTGGGCTCGCCGCCGGCCCTCTGCGCCGCGAGCGCGAACATGTCGTCGGCGGGCGCGCGGGGCCGCAGCTTCAGCCGGTCGGCGAGGCGCGCCCTCCACGTGGGCTCGGGCCGCTCGGCGTCGCCGCGGCCGGGCGCCGGCAGGCTGCCGGTGGACTTGCCCTTCCGCATGACGTCGCACGCCTGGGCGTCGCGCTCGGGCCCCGCGTCCCCCGCGCCGCCGTCCGACCGGAAGCGGGCGGCCTTCCTGCGCGCCAGCGTGTCGCACTCGATGAGCTTGTGCGAGCTGAAGGGCGGCCGGCGGCCGTCCAGGCTGGGCGTGAGGCTGCCGTCGGCGCCGCTGTGCTCGCTGCCGCCCGGGCTCCCGCGGCCCGGCCCGCCCGGGGGCGCCGCCGCGAACACCGGGAAGTCGCCCTCGCTGTCGCTCTCGGCCGGCCGCCCCTCGCTCACCAGCTCGCTCCGCTCGTCGTCCGCCTCGTCGCCCTTGCTCTCGGCCACCGAGCGCGCGTCGGGGCTCAGCCGGCTGCAGTCCGGGCCCGCGGCGGGCGCCGTGGCGGGGGACTCGGGGGCGACGCTGGCCAGGAAGTCGCCGCGGTTCGTTTCCGGGCTGGCGGACTTCCTCGCGGACGCCCTGGGCGGCGCGGCCTGGGGGTCCGAGCCCGCCTCGCCCGGGGGCCCCGGCCGCTGGGGCAGCGGGGCTCGGGGGCTCTCTCTCAGGACGGCGAAGCGACAGCTGAGCGTCGGCGACTTGCCGGCTTTCGCGCCGGGCGGCGAGGGCGAGGGCTCCTTCCGGACCGCGGTCTTGTCGTCGCTCGCCGCGCCCGGGGCCCTCCTGCCGCCGCTGTCCTTGCCGACCACCGTCCTCTGCTTTCTGCCCAGCGCCTCACTCTCTTTCTTGGGCTCTTCTTTAGAATCGGTGTGGCACTGCTCCACGTTTTCCTTCTTGAAGAAGACATTGTCCAATTCGTCTTCCGAGCTGCTGGGCTGGGCCTTTTCTTTTGGCTTTTTCCTCTTGCGACTGGCGGCCGCGAAGATGGAGGACACCAGCAGCTCCCTGCTGTACTGGTCCTTCCCGGAGCCCCACGAGCCCTGCGGAGGACAGAGACCAGACTGTGAACACGGGACGCTACTGCATTCGTTTTCTGGAAACCTTTCCCCCAAATATTTCTCATTGAGTTCAGTCTACCAAAGCTCTAGATGCACCAACAGATAAGTACTTAGCTTTCCTATACCTCCTTTTAACTTAGACCAAAGATAAATTTTTATTTAACTGGTCCCATTGCTTGCCCAGTGGAATTTACTTGCCAAGTCACAGCTCATACACACCTGCCTTCCAGGGAAATAGTTGGTGCTTAGTGCCATCAGTCTAGCCTGGTTCTTCACTAATTTCCCTGAAACTACTGACTTTCCTTGCTACCACAATGCTGAAATGTTCTTCCATTACCTTTGTCTAGAACAAAAGTTCATGAATTAAATAATCTTCTGGCATACTTGAACATAATAATCTGACAGAGGTTATTAAAATTTCATGAATGACCTCAGTTGCAGACACCATATGATACAGACAATCTATCAGACAAGCTCATTAAGATATGAGAACTCTGATCTTCCCTTAGTTCAGTTAGGCTGGGTCTTCAATGATTCGCCTTAGGTAGATCAAGCTGGTAATGTCTTCATTTATCTCAAGCTAACAACAGACTTAGTGTTTCTATGGTAAGGATTTAAGATCCTCTGTTATTTGTAAAGCTGTTTGCTATGTATAATAGGTTCTTGATTACGTTTATTAATTTGCTCATGATGTCTATATGCTACGTAAATGGCAGGGGGAGGATTGATAAATACATGCAGGTTTACCACATCCCAGCTATGATAAGCAGGCAGGAGGTATGTTGAGTAATAGAAGCAGAATGTACACTTTTCTATTGCCATAAAAATCTTAGACAAGCTAAAATTGCTATACTGAAGTCTTAAAAAATGAAGTAAAAATTTAGGCTGTTGTATTAAAAAGGATCCACCAAAATGAAATCACAGATGAACAGAACTTTGTCTTATAAGTTATAAAGAATTTCATAATTATCTAGTACACATCTTAGGGTTATGCATTTTCCCACACTTGCTAAAAACTTTAGGGGATGATGGTTATGCTTGGGCTCTGAATCAGGAGACCTGACATCCTTCCAGAGCTCACAGTGTATGACACTCAGCAAGTGATTCACTTTTAAACATCTCAGTTTTGTGGCTTAAGTGAGAGGCTATCAGATTATATTGCCTTTAAGATTTCTTTAAGGATCTCTTTAAAATTCTGTGAATCTGTGACCATATGTATTGCGGCAAATCACTCTACTTTTTAAAAAATGTCTAGCATACTGTAAGAGTACAAATGTTTAGGTTACATATATTGGCTTTGCCCCACTGGAGTCAGAGCTTCAAGCATGCCTATCCCCTAGACGGTGCGCACCACACCTATTGGGTGTGTATATACTCTCCACTCCTTCCCCCCTGTTATTATATGTGCATTTAAGTGTTGATCAGTTAATACCAATTTAATGGTGAGTACATGTGTTGCTAGTTTTCCCATTCTTGTGATACTTGTGATAGGAAGGGCTCCAGGTCTATCCAGGAAAATACAAGAGGTGTTAGATCACCATTGTTTCCTATAGCTGAATAGTACTCCATGGCATACATATACCACATTTTATTAATCCACTCATGAATTGATGGGCACTTGGGTTGTTTCCACATCTTTGCAATTGTGAATTGCGCTGCTATAAACTTTCGAGTGCAGGTGTCTTTTTTATAGAGTGTCTTTTGTTCCTTTGGGTAGATGCCCAGTAATGGGATTGCTGGATCAAATGGTATTTCTACTTGTAGCTCTTTGAGGTATCTCCAGGTTACTTTCCACAGAGGTGGCACTAGTTTGCAATACCACCAGCAGTGTATGAGCATTCCTATGCCTCCACATCCACACCAACATTCATTGTTTTGGGACTTTGTGATAAAGGCCATTCTGCCTGGGATAAGTGATATCTCATTATGGTTTTGATTTGGATTTCCTGATGATTAGAGATGTTGAGCATTTTTTCATATGTTTATTGACTATTGGTCTATTTTCTTTTGAAGATTTTCTGTTCATGTCCTTTGCCCACTTTTTGATAGGGCTGTTTGATTTTTTTTCTTGCTGATCTTCCTGAGTTCTATATAGATTCTGGTTATCAGCACTTTATCGGATGTGTAACATGCAAATATTTTCTCCCATTACATAGGCTGTTTGCTCTTGTGATAGCTTCCTCAGCTGTGCACAAGCTTTTTAGTTTGATCAGGTCCCATTTATTTATTTTTTCTGTTGCTGTGATTACCTTTGGGGTCTTCTTCATAAATTCTTTGGGACAATGTAAGAGTTTTTCCAACATTTTCTTCTAGAATTCTTATAGTTTCATGCCTCAGGTTTAAGTCTGTTATCCACTATGAGTTGATTTTTGTGAGAGGAGCAGGTCCTGTTTCAGTCTTCTACATGTGGCTATCCAAGTTTCCCAGCACCATTTATTGAATAATGACTCTTTTCCCCAGTGTATGTTTTTGTCTGCTTTGTCAAAGATTAGGTGGGTTATATGAGGATGGTTTTATATCTTGAGTTCTCAGTTCTGTTCCATTGGTCTATGTTTCTGCTCCAGTATCATGCTGTTTTAGTTACCACAGCCTTGTAATATAGCTTGAACTCGGTAAATTGATGCCTCCCAATTTGTTCTTTTTTGCTTAAGATTGCTTTTGCTATACGGAGTCTTCTCTGGTTCTGTAGGAAGCATAGAATTATTATTCTATATCTGTGAAAAATGATGTTGGTATTTTAATAGGGATTGCACTGAATCTGTAGATCGCTTTGGGTAGTATAGACATTTTAACAATGTTGACTCGGCTGACCCATGAGCATGGTATAGTTTTCCACCTGTTTATGTCCTCTGCTGTTTCCTTCCTCGGTGTTTCATAGTTCTCCCTATAGAGGTCTTTTACCTCCTTTGTTAAATATATTCTTAAATAGTTAATACCTTTCATAATAGCAACAAAGAAAATTGAGTCTTTGATTTGGTTCTCAGTTTGACTGTTGTTGGTGTATAGGAATGGTACTGATTTTTGTAAGCTGAGACTTTGCTCAATTTGTTCATAATTCTAGTAGTCTCATGGCAGAATCTTTGGGGTTTTTGAGATATATGATCATATTGTCAACAAAGACAGATAGTTTGACCTCTTCTGCCCCCATTTAAATACCTTTGATTTTCTTCTGTTATTTGATTGCTCTGGCTTAGACTTCCAGCACTAAGTTGAATAGAAGTGGTGATAGAGGGCAACCATATCTGGTTCCAGTTCTGAGGGGGAATGCTTTCAATTTTTCCCCACTCAGAATGATGTTGGGTGTGGGTCTGTCATATATGTCGTGTATCATTTTTGGGTAAGTCCCGTCTATGCCTATTTTCTTAAGGGTTCTTGTAAAACCGTGTTGAATTTTGTCGAATGCTTTTTCTGTGTCTATTGAGAGGATCATATGGTCTTTGCTTCTATTTATGTGGTGAATTGCATTTGTAGATTTGCATATTTTGAATCATCTCTGGGATGAAGCTCACTTGGTCATGATGGATTATGTTTTTGATAAGCACTTGGATTTGGTTTGCTAGGATTTTGTTGAGACTTTTGCATCTATATTCATAAGGGATATACTGGTCTGTAGTTTTCCTTTTTTGTTGAATCCTTTCCTGGTTTTGGTATCAGGGTGATATTGGCTTTGTACAAAGAAAATGTTATTCCTATATGTCCACTTAGGTGTTGATCACTTAATACCAATTTGCTGGTGAGTATATGTGGTGCTTATTTTTCCATTCTTGGGATACTTCACTTAGCAGAATGGGTTCCAGCTCTATCTAGGAAAATACAAGAGGTGCTAGATCACCATTGTTTCTTATAGCTGAATAGTACTCCATGGCATACATACACCACAATTTATTAATCCACTCATGTATTGATGGGCACTTGGGTTGTTTCCACATCTTTGCACTTGTGAATTGTGCTGCTATAAACTTTCGAGTGCAGGTGTCTTTTGTTCTTTTAGGTAGATGATCCAGCAATCCCATTACTGGGCAAATGGCAGATCTACTTGTATTGCTTTAAGGTACCTCCATATTGCCTTCCACAGAGGTTGCACTAGTTTGCAGTCCCTATAATAGCAGTGTAGGAGAGTTCCTATCTCTCCACACCCATGCCAACATTTATTGATTTGGAACTTTGTGATAAAGGCCATTCTCACTGGAGATAAGTGATATCTCATTGTGGTTTTGATTTGCATTTCCCTGATGATTAGAGATATTGAGCATTTTTTCATATGTTTGTTGGCCATTATTCTGTCTTCTTTTGAGAAGTTTCTGTTCATGTCCTTTGCCCATTTTTTGATAGGGTTGTTTTTTTTCTTGCTGATTTTCCTGAGTTCTAAATAGATTCTAGTTATCAGCCCTTTATCAGATGTGTAGCTTGCAAAAATTTTCTCACATTCTGCAGGTTGTCTGTTTGCTCTCGTGACTGTTTCTTTGGCTGTGCAGATTTTTGTTGCTGTGATTGCCTTTGGGGTCTTCTTCATAAATTGTTTGCCTAGGCCAATGTCTAGAAGAATATTTCCAACATTTTCTTCTAGAATTCTAACAGTTTCACACCTTAGGTTTAAGTCTGTTACCGAGCCTGAGTTGATTTTTGTGAGAGGTGTGGTGGATCCTGTTTCAGTCTTCTATATGTGGCTATCCAGTTTTCCCAGCACCATTTATTGAATAAGGATTCTTCTCCCCAGTGTATGTTTTTGTCTGCTTTGTCAAAGATTAGATAGCTATATGAGGATGGTTTTATATCTGGGTTCTCTGTTCTGTTCCACTGGTCAATGTCCCTGTTCTTGTGCCAGTACCAAGCTGTTTTAATTACAATAGCCTTGTAGTAGAGTTGGAAGTCTGGTAAATTGATACCTCCCATTTTGTTTTTATTGCCTAGAATTGCTTTTGCTATATGAGGTCTTCTATGGTTCCACACAAAGCGTAAACTTATTTTTTCTGTATCTGTGAAAAAGGATGGCATTTTAATAGGGATTACATTGAGTCTGTAGATCATTTTGGGTATTTTAACAATGGGTAGAAATTTTAACAATGTTGAGTCTGCTGACCCACAAGCATGGTATAGTTTTCCACTTGTCAATGTCCTGTGCTATTTCCTTCCTTTAGGAAGGTTGCTTATTGCTGCTTCAATTTTAGTACTTTATATTAGTCTGTTCAGGAATTCTGTTTCATCCTGCTTGAGCCTAGGGAGGCTGTGTTTCTAAGAATTTGTCAATCTCCTCCATATTTTCAAATTTATGTGCACTAGAGGTTTTTTATAGTATTCATAGATGATATTTTGTATTTCTGTGGCATTGGTTGTAATTTCTCCTTTTTCATTCCTAATGAGGCTTATTAGAGTCCTTTCTTTTCTGCTTCTCATTAGTCTAGCAAGAGGCTTGTCAATTTTGTTTATTTTTTCAAAGAACCAACTTTTGTTACCAATTTCATTTAGTTCTGCTCTGGAGTCGGTTTGCTGATCCTTTTCCAGTTCTTTGAGACGATTCATTAAATTGTTGATTTTTCTGTCTTTTGGATGTAGGCATTTATGGATATAAATTTTCCTCTCAGAACTGCTTTAGCTGTGTCCTACAAATTTCAATAACTTATGTCTCTCCTTTATCATATAGTTCAAAGAATCTTTTGGTTTCCATATTGATTTCCTCCTTAATCCAATAATCGTTCAGCATTAAGGTTAATTTCCATGACTTTGTGTAGAGATGAGAGTTTCTGTTGGAGTTAATTTCCAATTTTATTCCACTGTGGTCTGAGAAGATGCACGGTATAATTTCTAGAGACATATTTTATGGCCTCTAGGATATGGTCAATCTTAGAGAATGTCTTCCATGAGTTGATGAGAAGAACGTTAATATTCAGTGGTTTGGGGGTAGAATGTTTTGTAAATGTCAGGCCCGTTTTTTCTAGGGTTCTGTTTAAGTCCATTGTTTCTTTGTTAATTTTCTGTTTGGAGGATCTGTCCTGTTCTGTCAGAAGGGTGTTGAAGTCCTTGGCTATTATGGTGTTGCTGTTTATCATTTTGTTTAGGTGTACCTGAGTCAGGTGCCTAAATAGTTAGAATTGTTATGTCTTCTTGTTGAATTGTACCCTTCACCATTATATAGTGATTAAATTATGTGAAATCAGAACCACCATGCCAGCTTTCTTTTGGCTTCTGTTTGCTTGAAATATTGTTTTCCATTCCTTCACCTTGACTCAGAATGCATCCTTGTGGGTTAGATGTGTTTTCTGAAGACAGCAGATACTTGGCTTGTGTATATTTATCCATTTGGCCAGCCTATGTCTCCTTAGTGGGCAGTTCATTCCCATATGTTGAGAGAATTGATAAGTGGGGCAGATTTCTGTTCATCCTGTTGAGTTGAACTTTGTTTTGTCTCTTGAGCCATTGTGGTATCTGGTCTTTGACCTTTTAGCTTTTGGATGATTTTACATTGTGCTGATCCATGTGTAACACTGTTTTGAATACTTCCTGAAGGGTAGGTCTTGACGAATCCCCTCAATCTTTGCTTGTCTGGGAAGGTCTTTATTTCTCCTTCATATAAGAAACTTAGTTTTGCAGGGAACAGGATTCTAGGCTGGGCATTATTCTGTTTGAGAAGAGTGAGAACTTTTCTACAATTGAGAAACTGTCACAAATAGTTATACCACTTGGATATCCATTATATTACAGGCATGGGACACCGCTGTAGTAACAGGTTAAGAAACATGCATCTAGTGTGAGGGAAGGCAGGGATTTCAAAGAGGTCTGAGTTTAAAATCTCATGTTCTGAGGCCAGGTAAGGTGGCTCATGCCTGTAATACCAGCACTTTAGGAGGCAGAGGTGGGAGGAATGCTTAAGCCCACGAGTTTGAGACTAGCCTGGGCAACAGAGAAAGATGCTATCTCTACAAAAAGTAGAAATATTAGTGGGGCATGGTGGCATGCACCTGTAGCCTTAGCTACTTGGGAAGCTGAGGGGATCACTTGAACTCAGGATTTTGAGGTTGCTATGAACTATGATTGTACCACTGTACTCCAGTGTTGGTGACAGAGAGACCGTGTCTCGAAAAAAAATAAAACCTTCTGGCAAAAGAGGTTGGAAACCTATTCTAGATTAAAGAAGTCTAAAGAGACTTGACAACTAAAGGCAAGGAATCATAAATGTGTAATAACAAAATTCTATAATACTTTGTATCATGTTATTGGCAAATATTTCAAATGTTTGGGATTTGCTTACAGACAGGCTGAGCCGTGCACTGATAACTGGTGAAGATGGAGAATGAGTGCAGGGAGGCTCGTTATACTGCATTCGCTCTACTTCTGTATTATGTTACAAAATTTTCACGTGTAGTGTACTAAACATTCCAACTCCCAATCCAGTATGCTACTGTATTCTATTTTAGGAATTTAATTTTTGATGTAATGGACTTTGGGGCTCAGTGCTATGATTAAGATGACTCAGAGCAACAAACAATTCCCCCCCAAACAATATTTCCAAATTGTAAGAAACAATTTACCTTTGATTTTGTTGAGTCACTAGTAGCTGAATCTGTAGGAAGTTAAATAAAACATGGTCAGTATCAGCCCAACTTTACTGCTCTCGACAAACAATGCAAAACTTATGGAAGAGACAGGCACAGAACAAAATGTGAAAGCAAAACTCAAAACAATAGAACACAGTGGATAGTCAGAGCTCACAAAGATGCAAGCTGCACCACAGAAAGCCACCGCCATGAAAGGATGCTGTGAATTGTAGGCAGAACCAGCTCAATGATAGGAATGGCAAAGGAGCCCTGTGCTAGACAGAAACAGAAATACTAGTGTTTGTTAAATTTGCTAATAGTCAATCTAGCAGTAAAGAAGCTTGAAGTCCTTTTAAGAATTTTCTTATGTACCACATCCTGTATCTAAAATGGATACACAATGTAGAACTTTTAAGATCATTGGCTTCCCTCGCTACAAATCGAAACACTCATAAGGGCATAGTTATGTTGATTTTTGTCAGACTTAAATTTTATAAGCATAGACTGTATGCATATGGATGCACAAGAGGATAACCACCCTGCTTCCGGGTCACTTTGGTTGCATATTAAATAATGTTGATCTTTGTGCTTTAGACCCCAGCTGCAAAGCAGTGTGTGGGCAGGGGTCCTTTTGACTAGTTTGGTTAAATTGCTACCAGTTTTGTAATTCTCTGTTAACAAATGCTATTATGGAAATGGAAAAATGGAGACCATAATTTTACTGTCTGGCAAAAACTCAGATTATACAATTATAAAGAGGGTAGGAAGGGGCTAGCATTATTCAGGATAATGTCAATTTTGAAATTTCATCTTGCAACTTCAGGGAAATTGATTTTCAGAATTAATGAGCTGAGCCCCATGCCACGCCCCTTTTAACACATGGCTAAATGCTTTATGACTTTAAGAACTGGTAGACCATACCATGCTATTTCTCCTCAGGGTCTGCTTCAGAAATAACAAGAAACAGCAGAAAAACTTTTAAGAAAGTAGTATTGATCTGTTTACAATAATCTTAAGAGAAACTCGACACCACAGATCAACGGTGTTTGCAGTTACAAGAATCGGGGGTTTCTGCAGACAAGGCAGCTACAGTGTGGACAACAATCCTCTTTCTTCCTACAGGTCCAGCTGTCCATCAGGGACATCACCGAATCCACTAGTGACATTACCGTGTGATAGACTCCTCCCACTTCGCCTGTTCAACATCAGTATAGATTTGCCTGTGTCAGTAAGTGCTGAAAAAACCCTTTAGAGGACTAAAACAAGAACTAGAGACAAAGGGAGAACATTGTGTGAAACAACATGCTAGATTAGTGCAACAGTTTGGCAGGAGCAATTTGTCATCAAAAGAGCCTATAACAACTGATACTTAACCAAGCATTAGGGTGGCAATAGGAAACAGAAGAAGATAAATGTCAAATAGGTTGAGCTTTACTGTGACAAATAATACACTCTATGAAAATGGTGCCATTAGCAGTTCAACATATTTTAGAACTTCGAGCTCAGGAGTCAGGACTACTTATACAATCTAGACCATTCTTTCTGCCCTCACAGCAACCACATATTCAGTAGCATATATCTGTTTTACCTTGTGATGACTATTACATGGAAACTGTGAATTGAAAAAAAAAAAGAACAAAACAGTGGTTTGCATGCTCATTTCCCTCATATTTCAATTCTGACAAACATTACAATTCCATGCACTGCCAATGGCATTACAGTCACTGGAAGATAATTAAGATCAATCAGAAAAGGAAGATTAAGTTTTTTATTAGTAGAAAGGAAAAAAAAGAAAGAGGTAAAGGAAAAAAATCATAGTGAGTCGTTACTTATGATTGATTTGCTCTTTCAGGTTATAGGAATGTAGCTTTTAGCCTCGAGATCAATACTGCCCGGGCAAGAGTTACCTGATACATCTCCAGGCGACACTCCTGTCCTTCCAATGTTGGTGAGTAAATGATCTATGTTTGGCACTGGCTGGGAGTCTACAGTGTTTTCTTCCTGCACTGTTGTCTATGGTTAATAAACAAAGATCTCTTCGTCATCTCTTCAAAGACACTTTCTTTAAAATTCAAACAACACTTAGTAAAAGGCACATTACTGAATGGAGCACCTGTACTTGTTTTTCTTACATCATTAATCACAAAATAAGCACCATACTTGTATTTTTGCTAGATCAGAAACCGAGCTAGAGACCTGCTTCCAGGGCGCGACGCGGACAATAGCACACAAAGCGGGAAGTTGACACTGTTGCAGCGTCAGGGTCTCGCGTCCCCAGTGAACATAACCGAGCACAAATGCGGACGGGCGATACTTACAAGAGGTTCTTCGGCACCTTCTTCTGTGAAAAACCAGTCATGCTAAAATTTAAAATAAAAAAGGTGAAAAGAGAAATTAAACAAGCTCCTAAATAATACCTATATCTCGGAGGATCGTATAGAAAAAAGGTAATTTTCTTAGGGGGAAAAATATATATAACCAAATTCTGTCCTACCAAATTTTAGCTGCTCACGAAAATGCATTTCCTTGCAGAGATGAAGCCTGAACTTACATGCTGGATTAGGGTCTCTACGATCTTGTACTGGTCAGGCATGTGAGTGACCATGTGGGTCATGTTGTCTTCTGATGTCCGCACAAGGGTTGGCCCAAAGACTATTGCTAGATTTCTTGGTTCCATCTGAAAGAAAGGATGTTATTGGACAATATCAGGTCTATTTCTGAAAGGCTCTTTTGATGAAAAAGAACCCAAAGGATGGTTGACTGATACGGGTAAAAAAATATGTTCTAGTGAGGATTTTCATAAGAAAGTCTGTAAACTTCTTTTTCCTGCATTAATGACAAGGTGTAGTGCCTAATTGGCATTCGTGTTTTCTAAGAAGTCTTTGATCAGAAACAACTGATTTGGTTCAAAACTAGTATTATGAGAACTGGGTTAACAGATAAATTTTTTTAAATCAAAGGAAAAATTTTGCAAAAGATTAGGGAAACTCATTCCCCTTGAGAGCTACAAAATGGAAAAAGTGCTAAAAGATACATAAAAGGTTCCAGATTTGCCCCAGGAGTACATCAAGGCCAGTGATATATAAACATCCAATGTCTAGAAATATTCTCTTTGTTATTTTACTTTCAATTAAGTCTTCTGAAGCTTGCTCTCACTGCAATCTGAATGCCTCAATATTAGACCACTTATTTACGTACATAAATGTACGTAAGTACGTAATGTACTTTTATATTCCTTTTTAAATTATGAGATCACCAAAGGTGTATGAATCTTTTGGTTTCCTTTGTTATATCTTACCAAATCTGGCATATTATTTTGAATTTGATCAAAATGTAACACTTCGGGGGGAGGGGGAGAAATGGGCATTTATTGAAACCTTAAAATCTGTACCCCCATAATATGCCAAAATAAAAAAAAAAAAACAAAACACACACACACACAAAAATGTAACACTTCAACATACCCTAAAAACATACCAGGGGTCAAAAACATCACCACATTAGGGGGAAAAATACCATTAGACTATTTTGTGAGGCGCTTGCAGACACACACACCTTTTGGGTATGGTACAAAATAGCAACCCCACAACTCTCCTCCCCTTCTGCCGTGCGTATGATAGGTTAGCAGGCGTAATACAGGCCTCATTATACTATGGTCATGGCAGAGAAATGATTGAGGGCAGGATTTTCCTAGAGAGTCGGCTTAGTAGAAAGAAACTGACCATATGTGGGCAGGGTTTACTTAGACTGAGCACATAAGTCCTGTTTCTAGTCTCCCTCTAGAATGAATGTGTCGTCATCCTTTTGTTACAACTCTACTGGTAACGGTGGCTCCAAAAACAATCTCAAAGGCATTGTTTTTAGACTGATGAAGAAAACATGTATTAATAAATGTCAGTGTATGTATATATAAATAGTATCTGAGGATATAGTTTTAGCTGGTTCCTATAGAAAACTGAGTAAATAAGTGGTCTACAATTTACTTATTAATTACCTAAAACAAATTCTTTATTTCTTGAAAGATGCTCCACAAAATGTGGTTCAAAAAAGTCTAAGAAGTGAAATACCATATCCCCTGCTTCAAGATTGTGTTAAATTTGTTAAAGATTAATTCAGTGCTTTCTAATTTGACCATCAAATACTGTTTTCCCAGTCACCCCTACTAACATCCAGCAAAACCAATGAAGGATGTTATATACTTCAGGAAATACTGAAATAATAAGAAAATATTTTAGCTAAAATTTTATTGAACTTTTTGGCTCTTACTATTTCAGAAATTCATCTGGAAACAGTACAGTAAATGAATACAGGCTTTCATTTCCTTTTCTTCTGTAGCCCTATCATTATAACATTGCTGTAATCTTGATTTTCAGGTAATAGAGTTTGATACTAGTCTCATAATCCAAGTATGGGCAACTCTCTTCCAGAACAGCCACTAAACAGGTCTGAATGAAGGCATTTTTTTCCTACCGTCGAGTGTTCCTGAGCTTGTGCTCGTCTCCAGAAATGAAAATGACTGTTTCTGTCCTTTAAGAAGTGATGTCCGTGAGTTACAAAATCAAGGTTTTGCAACCTCTAATGATGGAATAGATTTAAGATTATAATGTATCCACCAAATAAAATGTGTGGACCTGGGGATATTGACTTACATAGTATTTAAAAACCCATTTTTTTTATTCTTTTTTTTTTTTTTTGAGACAGAGTCTCGCTTTGTTGTCCAGGCTAGAGTGAGTGCCGTGGCGTCAGGCTAGCTCACAGCAACCTCAAACTCCTGGGCTTGAGCGATCCTTCTGCCTCAGCCTCCCGAGTAGCTGGGACTACAGGCATGCGCCACCATGCCTGACTAATTTTTTATATACATATCAGTTGGCCAATTAATTTCTTTCTATTTATAGTAGAGACGGGGTCTCGCTCTTGCTCAGGCTGGTTTTGAACTCCTGACCTCGAGCAATCCGCCCGCCTCGGCCTCCCAGAGAGCTAGGATTACAGGCGTGAGCCACCGCGCCCGGCCCATTTTTTTTATTCTTTAATAAAGAATGTGGTATAAGAAGGGCAAAAAACCCCAAATAAAACTGTCTGTATACCATTCGGTACCTTCTGACAGTTGTATCATGTGCGTGTTATCTATTCAAAATACTGATTTATAGTTAAAATCAAAGTAGTAAAAGTTCTGGTTTTCATTTTTCTTGCTGGATAACTTTAAAAGAAAATATTTTTAAAAAATGGTGACATCTGGTATTTTGGGATCTTTAAGAGCACTCTTTAGAAGGGCTTATTTTAGAGCTTTTGTTGAACCTATTTGGGTCTATTTGGCATGAAGCAATAAAGCATATCTTTCAAACTAGACCCACTGAGAGTACATTTCTTCAATATGTACTTTACATACCTTATTTTTTTCTGAATTTTCTGCCACTGTTTTCAGATGAGCCGAAAGAAACTTAAGTGTTTCGTAATGATGTTCGGGCAAATCGTGAATCTGAAACATATTTTCACAATGGATTTTAAATACTGAATTTCAGTTGTACCTCCAAAAATATAAAAATAATACCTACTAGTCTTTTTAATGTTTTCAGACGATCTAGAGGATCTTCTTTACGATTGGCTTCAATAAAATCGGCATATTTATCTGACAAGAATGATAATACAAACGTTGCTTAGGTGAATCGTAATCTAGTTTTCTTTAAGGTTCAGTTTTAAACCACAATGAGAAAAATGTTGGGAGGATTCCCAAATAGCCTTTGATAGGTAAATCTCTAAAATGTATATTTTGGATATGGTTTTTAAGGCTACTCCAAGCCTTATCAACAAATAGAAGGAAATTCACTGAAATGTGAGTTCTTTTGCAGGCACCCTCCTAAATTTACACAGTCCGTCCATTCTCTCCACTCCCTATCTAGTACAGTGTCTTAAGTAGCATTCAATTATTTGGCACATTTCTATTAAATGTACCATATGATGTCTGAAGACTTTGGAAACAATAACATTTTCAACTTGACTGCAAACATGGATGAACAGGATAATATATATTTCACTGAACCTAAACATTTGAGAAACTTAGAAGAAAACAACTTCAAGTGATGAAAGTACACAATTAAGCTTTTAATATCTACATAAGAACTAAACAAAACCTCTTTCCTTTGACGAAAATATTTTCCTTGGTCCATTTTAATATTCTATGCTTTTCCAACAGTTGTGACTTGAACCATTTCATCTGGTATCTTTCATGGAAGTTAACTCACCATTTGTGAAGAGAGGCTCAGGGAGTTTTCGGAAGAAGGATTTTAGTAAACTGCTTATCACATTCAAATCTCGCCATTTCTAGGTGTGCAAAACAGAAATACAGTATTTTTGTAGTCAATACCACCAAAGGGAAAAAACCCAGATCAGTTATCCAAATAGAAATAAACACACTTACATCATCTTGTATGTCAATATCAGCCATCCCCTTGTTGAGTTCTTCTTGCATACTTGAGATGGCTGCATTATTTCCAGGAACTCTATAAATACCTGTATATTCAAGACCTCTTTCTTCAACTAATTTGCAACATATATCAACTATTAATGGAATATACTGCAAAACAAGAAACAAACATTTTATTTAATAGAGCACAAATGTTTGTATTTAGTGAGTAGTTGCACTTCACAGCTAAAAGGCCTTTTGCTTCCAAAAGGAAATACTTAATTGCTGTTATATAATATACAGCAAATAAAGTAATATGGACATTGCAGAACTGAGAATAGATAAAACCATCTAGAGACATTTGAGACAGTAGGAAGAGAAGGAACAGGCCAAGACAGAAACTAGAACAAGTAAGGAGAATGTGGAAAACAGTGCAGTTGAATAAAGAGAAAGTCAAGAAAAGAGAGAGAGAGAAGTGTCAATGAACTCATGATATGAATGAATCCTAACGGGAGTGTTATAAACAAACACACATTTACATTTATTATACTTTCTTAATCAAGGCCTTGTTCTCATCCTTGTTTTAAGATGCTAAAAGCAGAAACACATGATTTGAAAATGAATTATCACCAACCATGTCAGATGTATTCCCAACGGTTAAACGATTATTTCATTTCAGAGTCAGTATATTAGGAAAATAAGACTACAGATAAAATTACTCAATATACAGGTCAGAAATACTGGGGAAAAATGAAGACCTGCTATGAAAAAGAAAATACTCAATAGTTGACAGTCTCTGATATCTGAAAAGCTGTATGCTCCGGTCCTATTATAATTACAACTGAATTAACGACTTTAGGTAATCTGGCTGGTGTCTCCTACCCGATTAGTATGAGCTGGCGGGCAGTCATCCAGTCGAACACCAAATGTTCCCGTAGCAGCAGGCTTTTTTTCAAATGTCTTCCTCATAATACTTGGAATGCCTTTTCTCCATGTGCCTTTGTCTTTTGGGGGACTGGTATCGTCTTTGGATTGTGATCCAAAATAAAATAATAAAGGAAATGGAAAACAATGTTTTAATCATGACTTTAAGAATACGATCCATGTTTCACAGATCAGAGTCCTAAAATATAAACACATATTTATAAAAAATATTCTCTTCCTATTTATGGCACTCCTTGTAACCTTCCATATAATTTAATAAACAGATACCACTTCTACTTATTCACCCTTTTGCAATGTATATTACCATTTTCTTTGAAACAGCAAGAAAATAAAATTAGCGTGTTATCTTTATAGTAAGATTTTAGCAAAGGGAAAAATAGTTTTATTTTAAAATGATAGCATCTGGATTCTCTGACTCATTCAAATTTGTAATGTCTCTTATGTAAGTGTTGGATTTTCCTTCACTTTGTCTTTGTGATGGAAACTGATGTCTTGCGCCTCACCTTAAAGGGAAAGGCCCCGTCAGCCTGCACCGGGCTTACAGTGACCTGTGAGCTAGCTGACACTGATATGGTACATAAGAACACGAAAAGAGCTTTAATATGCCAATCTTACATCATTTTATTTGTTAAATTTATCCAAGAGAGCTAACGTCGGTACCTTTACTGAGAAGTTTCCTTTCTGACTCTTCCTTTGGAGAGTGCGGGCTTTGAGTCTTTGGCTCTGATTTAGCACCAAGCAAAGTCTGCCTGATGCTGAGACTCTGGCGAGGTGTTTTTGGCAACTGTTCTGCTTTGCTGCTGAAAGAAATGAACATTTCTTAACAATTACAGTGCCCCCCAATCCACACTTTGCTTTCTGTGGTTTCAGTTACCTGTAGCCAACCAAGGTCCAAAAATATTAAATGGAAAACTCCAGAAATAATTCCTAGGTTTGAAATTGTGTCCTGTTCTAAGTAGCATGATGAAATCTGGTGCTGGGCCCCCCAGGATATGAACATCCCTTTGTCCAGTGCACCCACATTGTATACACTACCCGCCTGTTACTGTATAGGAAAAAATACAATATATATATGGTACAGTATTATCCACAGTTTCAGGCCCCACTGGGGGTCTTGGAATATATCCCCCACGGATAAGGGGGGATACTGTACCTATTTTATACCCAGATTAACTGTAGACATGGTGGGATTCTCACCTCATCAGACTGTTATATTCTTTTATTCTTCGACTAATTAGATCCCTGTTAGTAACTCCAGTGTCCTACAGAATAAATAGAAGGTAAAATTAGAAAATCAATGCTAAATATAAATCTACTTTTTTGAGGCTTTCTATTGTATTACTTTGCTTATTCAACACAAACACTATCATTTGTTCTCAGCTGAGCAGTTTCAAAGCCTCTATTCAATAGCACCATGTGACAAATGTTCCAAGTGCCTCCCCCACTGCCAAAAGGGATTTCTGTTTACTTTTTGTATTCATGCAATACCTAGAAGAGTACATCAAAGTAACAGTATTCTTATTTTTGGAACTGATCTGTCATTTTTTAATAAATGACTAAGAAGCAGAAAGCTAGTTTATCTCACTCACAGTAGAAAGAATGATCAGCATTTAAAAATAATACAATTGGATGAAAGATGGAAAAGTATACTGCTAATCATCTGCTAATGATTCATTTGTAGCAGCAGTGGGGGGGGGTCAATTAGTATCATAAGTGGAAGTTGGATTTTCAGAAAAGAAGTGCTCAAAACTTGTTTACTTTTTTAAAATACCTACGGGTTAGCTTTTATAATAAGCTATATCATAAACCCAGAGTTGACATAAAGTGACTGATGACTTTTTTGTTGTTTCCAATTGTATATTAGCATGTGTCCTTAATTTTTTTTTAACTTGCTTCATTTTGATTATAATGAATGACAATACAATTTACAAAGAATACAAGCTTTGGAGTGAAATAATTTTGAATTTAAATGGACTCTTCTAATTTACTAGCTGAGAGATTATAGGATTAAGATCTAGAATAAAATTGCCTGGATTTAAATCCTAGCCCTGACACGTATAACTATGTAACCTTGGGGAAATTACTCGACCTCTTGTTTCCTTGTTTGTAAAACAGTGATGGTAATAACAGGACGCATTCACATGGTTGCTGAGATTAATGCATACAAAATGTTTAAAATCGTGCCTGCCATATGATATATCCATGGTGAATTATTTTCTCATCTATAAAACTAAAAGCACAAAATACCTGTGTCTTAAGATGAGAGGAGGATGATGGCTCACATTGATAAGTGTTTGCTATCTAGCAGAACTACCCTACATTCTTCGGAAGCATGGTTTCACAAACAGCCCTGTGTGTCTCAGATGGAATCATCTGGAGGAGTTTTAATGACATTTCACTACCCTATGGAATGCCTAGAACATAGCAGGTGCTCATTAAGCAAACTCCTTTCAACTATTATTTAAAGCTGAAATCTACATCTAAGTTCTTATTCTCCCTGTTTATTTTTCACAAATTCAGGTCTGATGCTATCTTTATAGCAGTGGTTGCAGAAGGAAGGTTTCATTGATAAGAAACTGGTGTTAATTTTTTACCACAAATGAGGCAGCCTACACTATAAACTACCAGAGGAAAAAAAGCACAGGCATTTTCCCTAGGGTATAAATTTTCATAATTTTAATTGGATATAATGGAAATGACTAAACTAGAGAACATAATTTGCATAACTTTACAGTTCCCGTAGGCGTTCCTGCATGCTGTGAGCAAGGAAAAAGAACTCTGTGTCCCTTTTTTGGTCACAGCAGTCATGAAAAGTGACTGTTACAAAGTGTAAAAAAACCTGTCAATGACAAGGGAAGAAAAAGAAGGTACTCTTGAGCAAATGCCAGACTTAATCAGTGCTGAATTTGCTTAATAAAGTTTATTTTTATGTGCACTTAAAAAACTACCTGTACTACTGAAATTCCTGCTGTAAAAGTATCTTGATGGTTGTAAACTGGACACTCTCAAGTTCCTAAACATTGTTCCTCATAAAATTAAAAAAAAAACCAGCTAGCTTATAACATGATTTTTCATAATGCAAGTTTTCTTAAAAACCAAGAACTATATTACAATATGCTATATAATGTGCTTACCTGTATGATTCCATTAACAAAAACCATAATATCAGTATAACCTTTTTTTTGTAAAAAGGGTGTATCAGATTCCACCCACATTCTTTTGAACACACACCTCTTCGTTGAGGTTGCTGCTCTCCTGGATGGTCTTGATCCACGCCAGCATATCATCTCTGTCTTCAGCCTGGAACAGGCACTCACAGTCGGACGTGGTGAGTCGAAACACATTTTTCCTCTTGGTCTCGCTGTAGGAGATGTCTATCAAGCAAGCATTAACACTGATGGGCTGCTCTTCCTCAGATGGCGTCGTCTGCTCTCTTTTATCTTTGTACAAGTAAAGTGAGTGGCCCCGAAGTACAACATACATCTGTTTCCATGGCCGAATACTTCCACCAACTCGCTAGAAAACATGAAACGGTTCATGAATACTCGACGCGTGGCTAAATCTTTGTGATGGGATAAACACATTAAGCAGTATCCTTATTAAATATATATGTGTACCTAGTCAGCAGGTGTCTGATTTACCTCGACGTAGATTTACGAGGATGGGAAGGATAAAAATTGTGCAGCATAAACCAAGTTAGGCAATGCATCGTATCAAAATCAAGGGTGGTGAAGTCCCAACTTTAATTTCATCGAGAAGATAAAATGAACAAAGTAATTCAAATATGCGTAGCAAAACATATTTAAAAATCCATCAGAAAAAATCTTTTGAGTGAAAGACTTAAGACTAGTCTTAGAGCATGCAAATGATAAACACTACAAAGGAGTTCCCAAAACAGTATGTATAAATAATGAATTGAGTTAACAAAGCTGGCCAACTTTATCTGGTTAAGCAACAATAAGCATGTCCAAGGTGAGGTTTCTTAAAAATTTTAAACTCTTATGGTGACATTAAAATATTCTTATAGGCTATGCGAGGTGGCTCACGCCTGTAATCCTAGCAATCTGGGAGGCCGAGGTGGGAGGATCATTTGAGTTAAGGAGTTCAAGACCAACCTGACCAAGGCGAGACCCCGTCTCTACTAAAAATAGACAGAAATTAGCTGGACAACTAAATATACAGAAAAAATTAGCCAGGCATGATGGCGCATGCCTGTAGTCCCAGCTACTTGAGAGGCTGAGGCAGGATGATTGCTTGAGCCAAGAAGTTTGAGGTTGCTGTGAGCTAAACTGAAGCCACAGCACTCTAGCCCAGGCAACAGAGCGAGACTCTGTCTCAAAAAAAAAAGTTCTTATAAGCAAGTTGTCCAAATAAAAGAAATTTTTACGGCAAAGTTTTTATTATATTAGAATCTACTATTGACACTTATATTTATTTAATTAAATATTTGTAAAATAAAATGAGACAAAAAATTATAAAGGCAAGTTAAAAGAACTGGAAAAAGTTAAATAAAAAATTTAAAATTATTAATACAGAGAATTGCCATTGTGATTGCCACTGGTTAATAAACAAACAAAAGCAGAATTCCCTTTTAAATATTTTGATTTCTTTTTTTACATTGCCAAAATATAAAATATTCTATATGTATTTGATACATAGGATGAAAAGTATAAAATTAAAACAATGATTAAAATTGTTTTAAAAAATTTTCTTTACGTAGAAAAAGATGTTAATACATTTTTAATCTTTAACCTGGATATCTTGCCATTTTTTGTATACAGAATTTATGCTTAATTTGTTCAGGGCTCGCGTTTCTGATACTCATAGCAGCTTAGAAAACACAGTACCTTGCCCTTATCGGTGACAAGTGGCCGGAAATGGAGCCACCCTTCCTTAGCAGCATCACTGAAAACCTCTGAGGAGGAATCTTTTCTGGATCCAGAGTCTTCTGAGGACTTCTGGCTGTCTGAGATCTACAGAAAAGGCCAAGAAAATAGTCAAATGTTAGTTTTTTCCCTTATAAGTATTTGCACATTGAAACTGCTTTGCAGAAAAAGTCTTAATGTTCCAAGTGAAGGGCTATTTTTGAAAAAAATCCTAATTTTATCAATTACATTAGAAAAATTTCCAATTTCGTTAAAGAAAATGTCAATGGACTATCATCATTGCAAAGGAATTTTTAACCATTAAAAACAATAGAAATAGTATGGTTTTCCTGCTCTCATGAGTTCACATTTTAGTGGAGAAAGACAAATTTTTAAAAAAGAAACAAGAAAATGATCAGTTGGTGATGTATGCCAGGTGGAGAATGAAAACAGCAAGATGCAAGAATGAGTGAGAAGCAACTATAAATTGGTGGTGTTGCAAAGCCTCTCTGAAGAAATAACATTTAGTTAAAATCTAGAGGAAAAACTTGAAAAAGGAGCAAGTCATGAAAGGTCAGAGGAAACACAAGTTCAGGAAGAATGTACAGCTGACGACTATATATTCATCAATATCATTTTAAAGTTCAATGTCAGAGAGAGAAATCGCTACTTCTAGATTGGTTAGGGTCTCTTAGGCCTTGGTAGAAGTGTGAAGGGAGGCCACTAATCGATGCATTATGGGAGTGACATCTGATCACACAGTTCAAAGACTGCTTGAGTGCCGCGTGGAGAGTGCATTCTCAAGGGACAAGCATGGGAAGAGTGCTGGCGAAGGAATCCAGATGAGGAATGATGGCGGCTTGGACTACAGTGGCATAAATGAAGATGGGGTGTGTTTTGGAGGTAAAGAGGACTGGATTTGATACAGGAGACAGTGCAAAAGAAGAAACCAGGCTCACACCTAGATATTTGGCTTGGGCAACTGGGTGAATGGAAGTGGACTTAGTGAGATGAGGGAAACTAAGGGACAAAGAGGTCTAGGATAATCGGGGTCTAGTAGACCTTGAATTGCTGATTAAACATCCACATCCACATGAAGGTATCATTTAGGCAGGAGCTAGTATGAGCTGCAGTTCAGGAAATAGCATTATAAACATTGGGAGACCTTTGCATACGATCATCAAAGAAACCAGAGTAGATAAATGAAGAAGGGTCAGAACGAGCTCTAAGCATTCAAACACTTTAGATAATAGGCAGACACAGAAGAGACTGAGCAGCAGTCTTCAAGGCAGAAGAAAAAGCATGAAAAGAGTGGCAAAGCAGAAGCCCGTGGAAGAAAGCATTTCAGGAAGGGAGTGGAAAACTGTGTTTGATACTACTGAGAGGTCAAGCTTAAGTTACCATAAAAACCAAAGTAACCATTAGTCTAAGACCCTGGATGTCACTGGCAACCCTGGCCTGGGCAGTGTTGTTCTGATGTGTGTGGGCGACACGATGCATAATTTTTTCAAGATATTTTGCTGTGAAAAGTAGAAGTAGTGAATAGAGGGGGCTGTGATTCCAGGAAGCTTTGTGTTCCGTGTGGAAAACAGCAGAACATGTCTATATATGATGGTGAACGCGCCAGTGGGAGACGGTGGCCGTGCAGAAGAGAAAGGGCCTTTGAGACAGTGAGAGGTGAGAGAATCCAAAGTACGGGTGTTGGTTTCTAACAGGATAACCTGCCAAGTAAAACAATATTTAAGTTAGGAAAAAAGAAGGCAGACACTGTGTATATAAATGCAGAGGACTGATTATTCTTGGAGATGGTAAAGAAACTCCTGCCTGACAGTTGTTACGTTTTCAGTGATGTGAGCGGGCAGAGGAGAGGGCAGAGGTGGGTGCAGGGGGACAGGGGAAGGCATGGAATAATAATTTTGAGAATGGAAAAACACACATACAACAAAATACAGAAGGACTGCCGAGCAGTTAGATTTTTGGCCTTGAATTGACAAAGTGAGAAAACTTAGCATAGTGAGGTAAAGTGTTACATATTTGATGAGTATGTTTAGAAATGAGAAAAGAATATTTTCTACATAAAATTAGTATTTTCCAAATGTACTTGAAACTTACAGAATAAAAGGTTATAATATTTAAACATTAAATGTCTAATGGATAAAAGATTACTTCACTATGCAAAGCTAAAGTAAACTAAGATAAATAGAAACATTTATCATTTGCCTGATGTTCCTGAAATATTGAATACCAACCTTGATTCCTTTCAGGCTAGATACATGTTTAAAGGACCTGTTGGGAAAGAAGTACATAAATATTTTCAATAAGTACAAAAAATGCCTTAGAGATGTAAGAATAATTTGACTATTACAACAAACTTTTCAATAATAAGCTGACATTTCATCATTCCATGTTAAATGACCACAGTTTAAGGTAAATGAGAAAAACAGCTAATTTTATAAATACTTAGACTTTTGATTCAACGATTAAAAACTTTCTTTTAGATCAAAGAAAAAGCTACTGAGGCTGAACACTGAGGTTTATATTATTAGTTAGCCATAGCTGTAATGGCATATTAAGGATTTCCACAACAGTGCAGTCCACTCTGAAATGTGGCGGTTACTATGTGAAAATAGCTCACAATCCAACCCTGTATCACTAGAAAAATTCCTGCTATCCTAGAACAGTGTGCCCTAGCCATACCTCATATAAGCCTCTCACAGTAGCTAGTCCAGGGGAAACCAATTTTATCAGAATATAAATAATAGTCAAATGGAACCCTCAGAGGATCTTATATAAAGATATAAAAGACAAATTGTTCTTTGACAGAAGTATTATCATAGAAGATGTCAATATGCCCTAAAATCAATCTATAAATTAAACATGTCAATAAAAATATTCATAAGCATAAGAACTAGGAAACCTGATTTTAAGGTTCAAATAGTAAAATATACAAAAATAGCCAGAATTCAGAAAGAACAAAAGTAATGATGGGTACTAGCTCTACAAGATAAGAACATTATAAAACCACTATAATTAATAGAATGTGGTGTACAAGAATATATAGATAAATCAAATGAATAGGGCAGAGCCCTAAAATAAAACTAAACATATATAATTTAGTATATAATAAAGATGATATATCAGTGGGAAAAGGATTCAATAGGTACTTCTGGGACAATTGAGAGATATTAAAAAATATGAAGTTGGCCTTTTATCTCACTAATTAGAATAAATCAATTCCAGATGAATGAAAGTTATAAATGCATAAAAAAAGAAAAAACATACAAATCTGAGAAGGAAACATAGAAGAATTTTGTTATAATTCTGGGATAGAGACAAACTTTTTCAGTATGGACTCAAAATCCAGAGGCCATAAGAATATTTCCCAAATTAGATCACAGAAAAAATTTTAAACATTTTACATGGTTAAAAAAATAAAGAAAACCAAATGAAAAATATTGAATCGGGAAAAGACTTGCAACATTTATCACAGAGAAGTGCTAGTTTCCTTTACATAAAGAACATATAGAAGTCATTAAGAAAAACGAGGAGGAAATGAGCAAAACATATTTACAAAAGTTCACACAAAAAGGAATATAAAATATCTCTTGAACATATGTGAAATGCCATTAGAATTACAAAAAAATCAAAGAGTTAAATAATACACTGCACTGGTGAGAATAACAGCATACTTTGTTCTATTGTTGGTGGCAATGTGATTTGGTATAATCTTTTAGAGAGCAATTGACAATAGATGTTAAAATAAAAAATACACATACCCTTGATGTAACAATTCTATTTACAATTATATTCACTTACACATGTGCTAAATGAACTATGTACAAATATAGCCAATGGAATATTGTTTGTGGTCAATTAGATTGACCATAAGATTAGAGATTAGATTAATCTAAATGTCCATTAATAGGAAATAGAATATTGACTAAATTATACTATGCTACAACTATTCGACGGAAAATTAAACAATCCTGAAAAAGAATGAGGCAGGAATATATGCATTGAAGGATCTCCAAGATTAGTGTGTATACTGTCATTTTGTTTATAAAAATAATTAGAATACAATACACATATATATGTATATGAAGCATGTGTTACTATATGTGCTTTTACACACAGAATAGCTCTAGAGTTATACAAAACATGGTATAGTTATGTCTGAGTAGTACTAGATGGCTGGAGGTCTTAGGGTGGGTGTATTTAATACAGATTTTTTTGTAGCACATTTGCATATTATTTTAAAAAAATTATTGGAAAAAATCCAATTGAATATGTTACCAAGTAACAACTTTGTTTTTTTTTTTTTTGAGACAGAGTCTCACTCTGTTGCCCTGGCTAGAGTGAGTGCCATGGCATCAGCCTAGCTCACAGCAACCTCAAACTCCTGGGCTCAAGCAATCCTCCTGCCTCAGCCTCCCGAGTAGCTGGGACTACAGGCATGTGCCACCATGCCCGGCTAATTTTTTCTGTATGTATTACTTGGCCAATTAATTTCTTCCTATTTATAGTAGAGACGGGGTCTCGCTCTTGCTCAGGCTGGTTTCGAACTCCTGACCTTCAGCAATCCGCCCGCCTCGGCCTCCCAGAGTGCTAGGATTACAGGCGTGAGCCACCGCGCCCGGCCAACAACTTTGTTTTTGAATTGCATTTTTAATGTCATAAAGTTAGAAAATACAGCTATCATTAAATTCAGTATTTATGTGCCAAAGTCATGCTGAACACTCACCCACATACAAATATTTAAAATAATACACCTGAGACTTACAATTTTGCATCTTCCCTGTAATCATCCAGACCCTCATCATATGATTTTGACCTTTCTGTCTTTGAGCTGGGCTGGGCATCCAAGCTGGGGGGTCCGACAGATTCTGTAATTAAAATCCAACATTTAGACATTTACAAGTGGTTCCCAGATTCTTCTAATGGTGAAAAGATCAGTTTGTCATGCTATTCTAAGTGCAAAACTGACACGGAGGTATGGTTAGCATAATCACTCTTTCGCCATACCATGATCATGGGAGAGTTGACGTCGAATTAAGGGAGCTGAAGTTGTGAGGCTGGGAGGAACTGTCGCTATGGAGGGGACCTGAGAGGTAGAGGCAGAGATAACAGCAGAAGCGGGGATATGTGCAATGTCATGATCGATGCTGGGGCTAGTTGGTTCATCTGCAAGAAAAAAGGAAAATGAACACTGGAATGTTAAATGACCCAATTATTATTATTGATAATAGAACTCAATAATCAATAAGGATAATTCAGGCTCATCTAATTTTATAATGTAAGAAAATAGACATCATTTAGTTTGTCCAAAGGGAAAACAAAAATGTTTCATTCTCATGTGAATGTATCCAAAACCACTGTGCTGTCACATCAATTAATCTCTAAATTTTTAAATAATAAAACTTAAATATGCTTTTGGAAGAAAATAACCAATTGTCTTTATCCCAAGCATTTCACATACTACATTAAGACATTAATAATGCATGTAAAACACATACTTATGAGCTATCATAGACTTGCTATTATCAAGTGGCATGATCATTCATGCTACATTGAGTTACATAATCGGAGAACTGACTTAAGAAATGAGGCATTGATTTACTTTTTTCATGAAAAGCCCCAGAGCTCTTTAGAATAAAGAGAAGGGAGAGGACACAGAAGTTGTTCTATATTGAAATTCAATGTGACCACTGTTTCTTAACCTTAAAATCTACAGGATAAGTTTTAAAAACATAGGCCTTAATATCCAAAAATTCTGGTTTACTTTTGGAAAAGTGTTTACCAGATAAATAAGTAATTCCCACAGATAATATATACTCTATTATTCAATTTGGATTTTTCCAAATGGAGAATATTCCAAGTCTTTATGTTTATTGCTGATTATTCATATCTGAATAGGAAACTTTTACTATGGTTATTGTTAGCAATTAATGTAGAAGAACATCTTAAAGACTTCGCAATCAAGAAAAAAGTAGACATGTACAAAAATCAAGCAGGCATGTCTATCATGTGGAGACAAAGTACCTGAATGAAGAAAGCAAAACTAAGAAAAAGATTCACAATCTTGATGTTACCACTTGAGTATCAGGATCCAACCATGCATAGAACCAGGTCTAACCCAGAACTTCTTAACTGTGAGCTAATCTTCTTGCCATGAGCTAATTCGACACTACTTTCTATCATTTGTAAGCAAGAGAATTATGATGAGTGTAAACGTGGAGTACAGTGTGTTTCTAGCTCCCTTGACAAACACGCATCTCTCCACATCCAGCCCAACATCCACTGCTGCAGGTTAGAGCACAGAGCAAAAAAAGGCTCCTTCTAAATTGAACCGAGTTATGAGGAATGTTTTTCACAGTTGACATAATTACTCCAGAAAGAAGCACATAATCTATGCAGCTTATATTTTATAATTGTAGTTGAAAATAATTTTTATATAACTCAGTGAAATTATAAGAATTTTTGATAGACTGTAGCAGAATAATCAGTTCCTTGACATAATTTTGCTTTTATTTCACCTCTGCTAGGAAGAGGTAATCCTATCTCCTCCCTAAAGTACACCATAATAATTTGGAGCATATTAATACTACAATATTACTTATTATTTTGATGTATAGTAAGAGGAGGGGTAAATTTGTATCAGCTGGAAGAAATGGTGGCTAACATAAAATTATGTATGTAGTTCTAAAATAGCAACAGCATGTATATATCTTTTTTACTAAAGATATGGAAACTAAATAAACAGTTTCTGTTTAAATATTTCCATTCCAACTCCTACAAAAAGGGACATATCTCAAGCACGATATGTATTTAAAATCTTGATTTTTCCTCATCTTCAGGGAAAATACTGCAAATGAATTCTTTGTCTTAAAAACAAATTTTCAAATCTGACAATTATTTCTTTTAATTTGCCTTCTGAGATACATAGTCAATTTAAATCAAAAGAGGTGAACAGCTATGTAAAGTTAAATGATCTTTTTAATAGTCAAGCATAAGCTCTTTCTTTACAAGTAACAACTTATTAATCTTTGGCAATGCCACTTTTTTTTCAACCAAAGTTAAGCCCGATGAAGTAAAGTCATCTTAAAAAATTGAATTCCCCAGGCAAATTTTAGTTACTCCCATTAACAACAATTACTGAACATCAGGTGAAAGCGCTGATAAAACTGGCATGCTCAAGAAACTCCATTTACATTAAATTAAAAATGCATTTTAAAGAATATTTTTTAAATGATAATAAATTAACTTTATCTTTTAAAAGATAATAAATTAACATGGGCTTCCAATCTCTGATCATCAAGTGGCAGACCTCCAAAGACTCACTGAGCATTTTCCACTAATTATAGAGTTCTTGAAGTAATAAGTCCTGTTTTCTTTTATATAAACTGGTAAGGGGTGCCATTACCTAGTTCAAATATCTCCATTTTTGACAATAATAAACTCATCATCATCATTGGAATTCAGTTTTCCAATTCTAGAAATTTTCTAATTTCTAATTCTAGACCAAGGTTCTTGAATAGTTCTACAAACATGCATTTAAAGTAACACTTGGCTTTTTGAAAGTCATTTTGAGATTGGTTATTTTAATAACCAAAAATTCAATGTTGTACTAGACAGATGTTTTAAAAGGCTAGAAAGGAGGAAGAAATTTGAATAAACACCTTTTAAATACCTTATTCATACTTAACCATGACCACATGGTAGTGGGTGCCTAATGAAAGACAGTAGAGTTGTAAAGAGGAACTTTACAAGAAGTAGGGATTTGAAGGCAGATGACAAAATCAGAGCAGAAGCAGGGATATGTGCAATGTCATGGTCAAGACCAGGGCCAGTCAGCTCATCTACAAGGAGGCATGCACCACGCAGAGGCAGAGCAAGTGCTCTAAATCCAAAAACAGCAAGTGGAGGTATCGCTTCCAGCTTTGCCAGTTACCAGGTTACAGTTACTTTGCTGAATTTCTGCAGTCACATAGATTGGGCAAGTTTTAAGATTTGGGGGTTTGGGCACAGGGTGAGAGGGCGTATGTATATGTGAAAATATATGTGTGTGTTCACGTGCCCAGGCACACGCATGTGTGTATGAAAAATAACTCAGTTTGCCAGCTGACAAACGCTATGACAATTTCGAGAAATTCAACATTTACCTAAAACTTTAATAAAACATCAGGCCACCAATTTCATTATCTGTTTAATTTATGTAAAAATATATTTTTAGATTTTAATAAACCAGGCATTTGGTAGGGTGCTTTTGAAATTTGGATCTATTAAAACCGACGGGTCTAAAAGTGTAGTTACTATAGGATCTATTTTCAAAATTAAAGGAACTAGATGAAAAACCTAGAAAGCCTACTTTAGCAAAAACAATTCCATAGCTTTGATAAGGGCTAAGTTTTAAAAACAAAAAGTTATTTCCTTAAATAAATAAGCCTGGCAATCAAGCAAGGTATGTTACAGATAAATTTGAAGTATTTTAGGATAAAAGCTAATGCTACCACCAAAAGATAAAGATAAAAGAACATCTAAAATTATTCACTGGTGAACAGTTTTGTTAACAAACTTGGAACAAATACATGTATTTAGTGAAAATATGCCAATTCACACTTGGGAAATCTGAGCTTATAATGGTGAATATGAAACTCAGAATTATTTTTCAAGATTTAAAAGAGTAAAAAGCCAAGATTTAAATCTTAGCACATTTGGAGGGCACTGTCCAAAGAATATGTGACTTGGAGCCAGCAGACAACCAGCCCTGTTAGTGATCTGTTGACAGATCTTAAGTAAACTACTTAACTTTCCTTATCCATAAAGCGGGTTGTTAATTCTGCCATCAATCCCCCACTGGGTTATTAAGAGGATTGGTACATTATAAAGTACTTGGTAGTTTATAAAGTGCTACAGAAGTTTTTGTTATTATTTTTTAAATTACTTTACATCTTTTTTTTTTTTTTTTTAAGACAGAGTCTCACTTTGTTGCCCAGGCTAGAGTGAGTGCCATGGCGTCAGCCTAGCTCATAGCAACCTCAATCTCCTGGGCTCAGGTGATCCTCCTGTCTCAGCCTCCCAAGTAGCTGGGACTATAGGCATGTGCCACCATGCCCGGCTAAATTTTTGTATATATATTTTTAGTTGTCCAATTAATTTCTTTCTATTTTTAGTAGAGACGGGGTCTTGCTCAGGCTGGTTTTGAACTCCTGACCTCGAGCAATCCGCCCGCCTCGGCCTCCCAGAGTGCTAGGATTACAGGCGTGAGCTACCGCGCCTGGCCTACCTTACATCTTAAACAGTGGAAGCAAAAATCTCTAGCTAAGCTTAAGTATCAATGGGGTCACATTTTTGGGAAAAGTTGATATAGGAAAAAGATTGTAAGATGATAGGTTGGATAATATTTCTCTTTATAAATAGACTATTTGCTTTTCAGAAGGACTCGGTCTGTATTAGTATGAGAGGGGTTGGGTGCTTATTGCATCATCCTGTGATGTCACTGCTGGCACTGAGCCTAGAGCTGTGCCAGAAGCTGGGTATACGGTGACAGTCGCCCCTGCCTTTTGGGTAAATTTCAGGGAACTAAGTTCCCCTGTCCATACACTGTAACGTTACTGTCTCATACCAAATTTAACACTCCCAAACTATCTTAAAATGGCAGTGCCAATAAGGCTGTGACAATCAAATTCAACTGACTCTAGGCTAACCCAACTAAAGCACACACATCCTGGCCAAGGTTGGGGTGTGTTAGAAATACAGCAAAAGCTCGGGAAAATGAATCTGAGATGAAACCCTGGATGTACGTAACACAGCCATAGTTTTTTGTATTAACAGTTATATGAGGTATAAGTTAAAGAAGTGTAGGAAGTTAGGACTTTAAAACACATTCTAACATCGGCTACCCACTATCAAATTACTTATGAACAGTTAACCATTTTTGTGTTTACTTATAAACGAAGTTGAAGTTTATTTTCAGGACCTACTGCATAGGTTTATAAAGTGTATGGGAGGGTGAACAAAATACTGATAATGAGTAATATTCTGAATTTAAAAATAATTTTCTCATTTTTATAAATCTTTGTGGCACAGAGAAATATTAGATGTTAAATGTAATAAAATATAGGGAAATTTTTCTTTCTATAAGACATTATTAGCTCTATGTAATGGATAACTAAATAAATTGGCTCCATTCTCTGATATTTTGGGAATAAAATCAATTTTTTTTTGCATTGGTCTATAGTGTTTTCAAATAATAATGTTTTCAAATGACACAAATAATTATTAAAATCACAGAGTATAGGCTGTGTGCAATGGCAGGTGCCTGTAATCCTAGCTCCTCAGGAGGCTGAGTCAGGAGGATCACTTGAGCCCAGGAGTTCAAGGCTGTAGTGAGCTATGATCATTCCACTGCACTCCCGCCTGGGTGACAGAGTAAGACTTTTTTCTAAAAAAAAATAAATAAATAAATCACAGAATATATAATTCTGGGTGTGACAATACAAAAACAAACCTTAATTTATTCTTTTTCTTTTAATTTAAATGTTCCATAGAATTGAATATATATCAACATTCCCCAAAGTGTGTTCTATTGTATGCTAAACCCATAAAATAAATACAAGGATTTATAGCCAAATATTTCAGAATAAATTGTATTTTAGTCTGCCTACTATATGGTAGTCTATTAATGATTGTGATTAGTCCTATAGTAAAACAAACAAATAAAACTTATCTATTTGAACCCCAGCATTTCTCAATTTATTTGATCACTGAATTTTTTCTTAATAACGCTTAAGATCTAATAAAATTAGTGTCCTTGGAAAACACTTTCGGAAACATTACAAACAGTCCATTTCAATGCTATTATTTCTCCTGCTGTCTCTAAATACTAGGTTGGCAAGAGAAACACCCATGGGTCAGATAAAATTTTAAAGTCCAATAATAAAAGCATTTTAATATTAAAATTTTGGGACTTATACCCCAATGAAATGCTGAAACATTTTTTATTGATCAAGTATTTATAGTATAACAGCATAGTCTTGAGAGCAGATTAATAAATGTTTTTTGGACTTTAAGGTTATAGTAAAGGATTTTCAGTTAATCACAGAAAAAAGGGCCAATATATTAAGTAATGGAAAGTATATTTCTGATGTTATGCTCTACAAATTAGATAAATACTAAAATCAAATATTTTCAATGCCTTTAAACAGCATTCAATTTTATAAGAGCCATGAAAATGCTATAAAAACTTAGGAGGCACGGTGTCATTCCACCTTAGGGCTCAGAAGCTTTTAAGATGCTTACATACACGGACAATATTCAAATACAGAAATGCAGTAAATTCTGTGTTAGTATCTCAGTTCTTTATACTCCCAGTGCTGTGTAACTGACACCATAGTAATCACATGCCATATGCTAAGGTTCTAGGAGCCATATGTGAAATAAATGGAATATAAAGACATTTTTATGCTGGGTAACCTTTAAAAAAACAATGCTTCAACAAACAAATACTACAAACAAATACTATTCACTAGGAACAATGAAGGAGAGTTTACTAAGTACTCAAAGTCAAATAAGATCAGAGCTAATTAGTGAACAGTTTTATATTTAGTGAACAAATAAAATAGTTTATTTTCATCAATATCTATGTATATAGGATTATAGAGATCTTTATATTTTAGCCACAGTCCTCTGTTCAATAGCATAATTGACTGTTTTATTCCTATACTTCATATTAATTACTTAGAAATATTAACAGATATAACCAGTATCTTTTTTACTACTCCAGTATAACCTGGTTATATAGTTCTTATGATGTCACTGTTCTGATATGATCTTACAGGCCTGTGAGATATAGCCACAGGTTGTAGAACTTTTTATGTTTTAAAAAATCATAAAACATTCATTAGTCCTCAGGTACTTTCTATCTAGATGATATATATGATTCTACCTACAAGATTCTATTATTTTCTGAGCTTGGCCTTAAAGGTACAGACATGAATATTAGTACAGTTTAGGTTGAGATTCCCCACAATGTTTACAATTTCAATATATCACATTTATATATATATATATAAAAAAAGCAACTTTTTCTTTAAAAACTAAGTTGGGTAATGTCACATTTTTTTAAGTTCAACAGCTTTAAAAAATTTCCTCTAGAAAAGAAAAACTGAACTATTACTCAAAGAGAAGCACATTATATTGTAAAATGATGGAAAACTCTTTTCATAAAACCTATGGGGCACCAGGGTAAGAGTTTGGGTCTTGGTGGCAAAACAAGGCCCCTGTGTCACCAACTGCAGGGGCGCTGTTGACAATGCAGTCCACATACGTGCTGCCCTCCAGCATGTTCTGTGGGATAAGGCTGAATTGGGAAAACTTAGGGTCTCTGTCTCTACCACTTAGTAACTGTGTGATTTTAGGGAAGTTATTTAACCTCTCTGTACCTTAAATTTCTCATTAATGAAATTAAAATAACACTAAGGACATATAATCGTGTTATGTCATAGAGCTGTGTAGTAATTATGACAACTTTTTTTGGTTTTGCTATATATTTGACCATCATCTCAAAATTATTATTTAGCCATTATTTCAACAAATACTTGTCGAGTGCCTTCTTCGTACCAGACAGTGTTCTAGGCATTAGGGGAGAGGAGTGAACCAAAGATTTAAAATCTTGGCTCTCATGTTGTTTGTTTTAGTTCTACAGAGAAACATGTAATAAAAGAATACAAATTATGCCAAGTGGAAACAAGTGATATGAAGATTTAAAAAAACTTGTGTTGGGTGCCTATTTTAGCTGGGAAAGGCTGCTTAGATAACATTTGAACAGAGACCCCAGGGTAGTGAGGAAGAGCGCCCTGTGATCATCTCTAGAATGTGTTCTAGGGCTGGGAACCAGCAGTGCCAGGGCCCTGTCATGCTTGGCATGTTCTGGAATGGTGAAGAGGCTGGCATGGCTGCAGAAGGGATGGACGTGGAAGACAGGGTAACAGGAGATGGGGGCAGAGGTGGATGGTGCTGTGGAACAGGCCATCGAAGGCCCTGTAGGTCATGGTAGGATTCTGGATTCTATTCTGGGTGAGATTCTATGTCCTCACAGGGCGTTCTGACCAGAGGAGTGGCACGGTCTGACTGATATTCTGAAAACATCACACTCGCTGCTGCCTGGAGAGCACAGCTGGGGCGCGAGGGAGCAGACAGGAGACTCAGGAAGCAGGGTGGGTGTTACAGACTGTGGCGCACACTTGTCATTTAGGTAACCTTTCCAAATCTATTCCAGGATTTATTCTAAGACAAAGTAATTTGATAACGAAGAGGTCTTCTCTCTCCCCCCAAGTTAAACTTACAAAGAAATAAGCTTTACAAAGTAAAAGGCACTGTTTAAATTAAAGGTTGGTAACTGATGATCAAAACTATTTCACTTGGTTTTTGATTCACGTGAGTCAACGACTAGGCACAATTTGGTTTGCCGATTCCCTTGGCCTCGGATGGTGCGAATTTGTTTCATCGAAATCAAAATAAAAAATGGGTAATAAGTACATCAAATTTTACCAAAAAAAGGCAAATGGATACTAGAAATAACTTTTAAGGAGGGTAAAGGCTTACAGCTCGGGTTGAAGCATAGTTTATGAGATTCGGAATGGATGTTTTAACATACAGTGTGAGATTTCTGTGCCTGGGAACTACACATACTACTTTCCTGAAAAGATTTCTCAAAGATTCGACCTATGAGCCAGGGACTGTAAAGGGGCTCACCTATAAATGGGATGGAAGCCAAGGAGTCGCCGGGCGGGCTGGTACTGGAGGCCTTCCTCTCCTCCATTCTTTTTATGTGGACCTCCCGGCGGGCGTCGTTGGGCAGCCAGCACGTGGTGTCTGAGCCGGTCTCCTGGTCATTGACTGCCAAGATGTAAGACTGATGCCTTAAGGGCTGCGGGGTCTGGCGCCCAGATGGAGGTTTTTCTCTTAGGATGACAGTTTCTTTATTATCTAAAGCATCTGATTGCTGAATGTCAGCCTCTTGTAAATTTAAATCTTGATTTGCTGGACTGACGGGTAATTCTAAGTCTGGAGGGCCAGAGTTGTCACTCATCTGCGGGGTAGGCTTAGCGGAGGCTCCAGAGAAAGGAGGGGATTTTCCAGTTTCCACGTGCTGATCGGGGACACTTTCAGTTCTTAACCACGCCTGCTGACTCAGTAGGCTATTTTGATGTAAGTGATTTACTGGTCTTTGGTCTTTCATCGAAACAAAGGAGTTCTGGCTGAACGATGGTTTTGTGACGTGTGTGGAAGGCGCTTTCAGGGAGCTACTTCGGACTTTCACAAGAGGTGACCTCTCTTGTGACATCCCCTGAGGCAGTGACATTCCACAGGTAGCCTGAAAATTTCTGTTGGGTGGCAGTGTTTTCAGATCTGGTGGGATTTTTTTAAACTGTGACACAGATCCCACTCCTCTACCTGCCACCATCCGCCTGTTGTCAGAATTAACGACGCTTGGGGCCACGGTAAAATTTGAACCTTGGAAAGATTTATGAACTTCTTGTTGCCTGGGTCTTTCGTAAATGCCTCGTCTGTCATCCTGTTCGGTAAATCCACTCCACTTATAAGTCTGTTTTCGCTCTCCATTGGAATCAGGTGTTTGACTCTCAGAATTGACATTTTCTACAGTTTCACCCTGTCCCTCAATATAATCCCATGAGCGAGTTCTGTGATTACTAAAACTAACAGAGGGAGACGTCAGTGCTCCTTGAGAGGCGCTTCTCGGGCAGTATTTCATCAGCACAGAATCCTCCAGCCTTTCCTGGGACACGCTGCGCTGCCGGATCTGAACAGACTGGGGCACTCGGTCGTGAGAGGTGCTTCGACGTCGTACCTGCAGAGTCGTGCGGTTGGGTACCACCTGGTTATAGTCTGTTGTGTTCTGAGATGCTGCTCTCAAACTATCTAGTCTTTCTTGAATTGTCCGACAACCTATGTGTGATCGTCTGTTATCAATATACTCTTTGTATGTTTTATAGTTTTTCCAGTCTATGTGCTGATGGGAATTTGGCGAGTAGTGATTAACGGAAACAGAAGAGGAATCCACAGCTTGAGGCCTACTGCTTGAGATTCCTTCTGAATGTCCGCTGTAATTTCCAGATTTAAGTAAAATTCTGGAAGGTTCCAACGATCTGGAGCCTGTAGTCTGATGAATTAGATGGGCAGTGGGAATCGATGAAGGTGGTGAAGTGGTTCTTGACACTGTTTTTAAAGAGGTCTGCTCATTCATGCCATACCTCACTTCTTCAGTTCTATGTGAAGGACCTGCGTGGGTGTTTCTATTGGATAACAAATCTACGACCTTCTCAGAAGGCACAATGACAGTCCTTACACTTTCATTGCAAACGCACACTGCTGTGTTTGATTTTGCAACATCTGTTGGTGAAGGAGGCACTTGTATTTCCATTCTATAGGCCCTGCCAGGTTGCACGAGTACTGGTGTACTGGTTTGGTGCTTGCTCAGTGATGAGTCTGGAGGAGAGATTTCAGCTGGCTGTGCCGTGGCTGGCGGGGCAGGTGGCAGCCAGGGATAGCAGATAGGTGGAGGTTCGGGTATATTGCGGGCATTGCCGCTGTAGGCTTCGTTGCCTTTCAGGTAGGCATCTTGAGAATATGCCTGTATGGAAATGAGAGAAAAGTGTCACTTAAAATTCATGAAAAGAACAATAATTTCCATTTTTGCAGTTCACTGTTTTATTTTCCTATGCCCTACCTTGTTCCTGAATGGCACTCACTACAGCACGCATGCACACACAACAGGAAGGCATTCTACCCATATCTAGAGAAGAGCTAGACTCTCAGAAATCAAATAAATTATAGAATCTCCAGCATATATAAACGACAATTGCCTATTTTCTTAAAAGTTGTGAAAGACGTCAAATTTCTTCCCACCCAGTGAGATACAGTCATGTTGCTTCTAAAATCCTCCCCATTCAAGCTTTCTGATTTTTCAGCAATCGACAGGTTAAATGGCTGCCTAATAAATCCCAGCAAAAGAAGATTCTTGTCTTTTGCCAGGGAGAAGGTAAAAATATTAACCAAACACATTTTTATTTTAAATATTGCCTCTATCATAAATTAAATAAAATTGATTGAAGTATATTGTCAATTAACTACTACAAAGTCCTTTAAAATAATCCATTTTGATAAATTAAGCCTTTCAACAGCCATGCTAAGTATTTTAACATTTAAAATAAGAGAAGAATATGCATGTTTAAGAAATTAAGCACATATATCAAAGGCATAAAGTATAAAGAAAAGTAATTTATCTTTCTGTATATATAATTTATATTTTTATTTTAAGCTAATGCAAAAGTATATTGTATAAATTTATTTGGTCTCTTTTACTTACTATGAAGAGACATTTCTCTTACCAACAAACATGCATGCAGCTGAAATTTACCTATGTGTAAAATTATCTAGCAATATTTTAAAAAACAAGAATAACTGAAATTAACTATAGAGATGCTACAAAACAGAGCTCATCAATGCAATACAGGACTATGTTCAGCATTTAAGACAGTTAGGTATAGTAACACATCCTTGCTTAATCAAAACAAGCTTAACTCAAGACTGTCATATCCTGTCTTTGCATTTGACAGCTTGCAAAGCTCAAGTGCAGCCACAAACATAACACAACAGCACAGTAATAGGGAAAGGGAAAGAGTGAAGACACTTAAAAAATACTGATGCACATACATATTATGTTTAACATCAGTTATGCACAGGATACAAAACCAAATATAAAAATAAAAAAAGATGCAAAATCATATTATCACAAACACATTCAGCAAATTAGTACAATTAACACTATGAAGGGATTTCTCTAAGCAAATTTACAGTTTTAATAGACTGGCTTATTATACATCTCTATAAAACATGACTTAAAAGCAAGGAAATGGCTACTGTGCATTTCTTACCAGTGCTGTGACATCCTTTGTAAATTGCAGCTAGCAGAAAATAGGAAAACATAGAAGCTGCTTACTGATATAAAGACAAAATCATGTTGTCATGTTGATGCTGGAAACAGCAAGCTAAAAATACATCTACACTGATTTCTCTGGAAGGTACCAAGAGAGGTAAAGGGCAGTGAAGCATAAAGAATAACTTCAGTATCCTTCTGAACATCTTTTTCTCAGGCTTTTATCTGGTTCTGGTTTGATATGTCTACCATCCTCAGAAGCAAACTGCAGCCGATGGCACGCATTCCTAACAGATATTTTCTTCAATATGCGCTGCTGTCTGATACCGTGCTGCGAAGCTTCCCTTCCACGAGAGCAACGTTGATGTCTCTCATTTCCCCTGAGCTTCCTCCAGCTCTGCTTCCAGATGACGAAATGAATGCTCTATTATGCATTTAAAATAGTACAACCTCCTCCTTCCCCGGTAAATCAGAGCATAACCACAAGCTGTCAGCTGACTGCAGCTGCCTTTATACTATGATTTGAGGGGGAAAGACTGTTTTATTAAATAGGTTTCACTCAAAAAATTAAGATCTTTCAACACTATACCTTTTATGCTGTTTTACTAATTTGCAAAAATAACTAGTGAATAGACATGAAAAATACTACTTCCAGAGTAATTCCTCCTGTTAACTTATAATGAATACTACAGATTAGAATGTAGTGAGGAATTAAAGCTAACTATCTTAAAGAAAATGTACACATTAATATTTTCATGGTATGAATACAATTCAATCAAAACATGCATTTGGGATATGTGCATTGATATAACAAGTTTATCTTTTTCATACTGATTTATCCACACTAGTACTTCAATATGACACGAAAACTGTGTCTGGATGACAGAATGCTATGCTGTCTGATACAGTATAGTTCCCACAGCAAGCTTGTGTAATTTATTATGTGCTGCCTAAAAGGAGGGCAGGGATGTGTGTGTCCCTAGGTCAATGATGTAGGGAAGGGTGAGCTGGCAAGCTTCCTGACTTCTCAGAACCTCTCCTACATTAGTGTACACAGTGAAACTCAAAGAGAAATTTCAAATTGATATACCATGAAACCTATTGTTTTTCCAGAGGTTTTAAATTAGAATATCCCTTTGGAAATGCTGTTCTAGAACTAATATTTTAAAGATAGTTTCTTTACTCAAATTTAGGGAAGAATATTATCTTTTAGTAATAGAAGTATATGACTAGAACTAGTAAATACTTGAAAAATATTTTACATACTTCAGAAGTCTCCAAGATTCCGAAAGAGCAATTCTAAATGCTAAATAGTCTATAGTCACGAGTCCCCACTTCTGAGTAAAGTTATAGCAAGGGGATCTTAAACCCATATACATGCATGCATGGACAGTGGAATGACTAAATAGAGTGTCTCACACATCTAGTACTACTGTCTCCTGTAGGCAGATATAGTTAAGATAATAAAAATCGGGAGAAAATTGGGAGTTCATTCAAGAGTGTTACTGAATTTCCTCAGATAGTCTCTTAGTTCGTGAACACTAAAAAACCTTGCTTATTTATCTATCTTTATTTCTATCTATTTACTTCCTTATTACTTCCCAAATAAGTTCAGGGAAGTAAATTAGGAATAGGCACATACATTTTAAGGAATCCTCTTCTCCCAGGATGCCCTTCAGTGTTCCCCTACAACAATCGACTGCCTACTAAAGAACGTTTCAGACACCTTCTAAGAGGATAATATTCATAGGTACTTGGGCAACACCATGATGTGTCATCTGGAATGGATCACAATGTGCAGCTCTTTGAAGTGAACACCAGACCCACTGATAGGGCTTTATGTTCTGGGAACAGAACTGAAAACTCTATCACTGGCTCACAGCTGTGACTATGTCAGACTTTTCCCTCAGTGCTTGGTCACAAGGTACCAAACCTTTTATTGAGGAATCATGGTCTGACATATCAGTGTACTCACCACCACTAGGGATCTATAAATTGTCCTGTGGGCACCAATTAAATGGTGCAAAGTATCGTTTAAACAAAGTAATTTATATTCTTATATAATGATGTCAGGAAACATCCTGTATTAATAAGTTTGCCTGAAATGGTATAGCCTGGAAATTTTTGAAACCAATGTCATAGGAATTGCATAATCAGCTATGAATAATTTTCAGTTTCTGTTTTAAGCCCAAATGGATACTTTATAACATATGCAGGTGTTCTGATGGAATTAGACAACAATTAAATTTTACCTACTTGAATAGCACTTGTAAATCCAACAGATTATGACAAAACATTCTTAGACGATTTTTTAAATTTATGCCTTTTATGTACCATTCCACCTTCTTTCTTGAGCTTTCTTTATCCTTGTACATAAGTATTACATCTTATAATAGTTTAATAGCTTATATTTGGAAATGGAAGCCATCCCTAATGAAAATAGAACAGCAGCGGCCCTATCATGCCTATTGGATCCACAATGTTCTTAAACAAAAAAGGTGGGGTGGGGAAGAAAATAAAGAAGGATGACCCATAGGATTCTTCCTTTGAAATCAGAACTCAAAGGGCATATTAAATAAAATTTAATATTAGCAGTCTGCATCTCGACTATATATACAGTGCCTAACAGTACTAAATAACCCTAACATCATCTTCCAGTTCAGTTTTTTGTAGAGCCACATCCAAATCACTATTATCATACCTATGATACTGTCCATTAAATGATAAAACTAAACAAAAAACAGCAAAAAAAAAAAAAAACCCTGCAGAATAAATAAGATTAAAAATCCTGCCTTCCAGTTCATCTTTAACAAGTTAACTTGCTACTTTAGTGCTATTACCTCTGATAAAAGCAAGAGTAGCTACGTGTCTGTGGGGACAGTAAAACACACGCCGACAGTGCCACCGTGCGGTGTGGGAGTGGGGGACGGTGTGGATGGGGGGACGGATTTCCTTTTTTTTAATACCTTTCTACATTTTTGACATTTTTCCGAGAAGTACATACTATTCTTAAAATTATTTAAAATTATATTTTTTAAAAAGAACAAAGTGCTAACAACTTACAAAATATGAAAAATCTTCCAGAATTCCTACTCTGCTTCCTTTACTCCAGGCAGGACCACTTTGGTCCACACTTGACAAATGTTAATTCTAAATAGAATACTATACTGATGATGGCATGTATAAAATAATTCTTTAAAAAACTAATTCTAATAAGCCTAAAGAAAACTGTTGGTTAAATTACATTTTTCAACTTATATCATATATCCATGAGAGACAACTAGAACACTGGACTCAGAAACCAGGGATCCAAGTCAGAGTAACAACTGAGTTTGAGGTTGCTGACGCCACGGCACTCTAGCCCAGGCAACAGAGTGAGACTCTGTCTCAAAAAAAAAAAAAAAATACATGTTGGATTAAAAAATAGGGCTGCCAAGCACAGAATAATTATTACCAGCACTGATTTAAAAACATAATGAATTATTCTTCATTTTATTTTGTGCTTTTCAACATTATATCATTGTCATCATAAATTATGAAATCTGTTATTATATACCTGTTCTTACATGAGTGAAATTTTAAACCAAATTAAATTTTCTGGGCCACCTCTCAAAGGTGAACTGAGCATTTTTAGAACAATTTGGTCCAACAAATTGTTGGAGTGGACAAAAACTCCACGCACTACCCAATCCTGCTGTTGCCCAGGCAAAAACATATACACTGCAATAGGCTTTTCCATGGGTAAATTATTTTTACAGTGGCTGTAAAAATATTCATATTCTTTCTTCTTTTTTTTTTTAACAGTAACTATTCAACTTCCTAGGGACAAATATATCTTTAAAAGCATATATTTTGAGCAACAGATTTAAGATCAGCATAAGTACTTCTGAAGGCCCTTGACAGAACATTTTAGGCCTAGAAGCTGTGTAAGAGACAAAATTTCTGCACTGTGTTTTTAAAATTTTCATTTAATTTCATTTTTAATTTATTTTAAAAAAATTTATTTTTAATCATTAGGGGTAGATAATAGTTATGTATCTTTATAGGGTCTATGTGATGTTTTGATACAGGCACACAATGTGAATTAATCAAATCAGGGTGCTTGGGGTGTCCATCACCTCAGGCATTTAACATTTCTTTGTGTTAGAAACATTCTAATTCCACTCTTCTAGTTACTTTAAAGCAGGGGTTCTCAAACTTTTTAAACAGGGGGCCAGTTCATTGTCACTCAGACTGTTGGAGGGCCGGATTATAGTTTAAAAAAAACTATGAACAAGGCCGGGCGCCGTGGCTCACGCCTGTAATCCTAGCACGCTGGGAGGCCGAGGCAGGCAGATTGCTCAAGGTCAGGAGTTCGAAACCAGCCTGAGCAAGAGTGAGACCCCGTCTCTACTATAAATAGAGAGAAATTAATTGGCCAACTAATATATATAGAAAAAAAAATTAGCCGGGCATGGTGGCGCATGCCTGTAGTCCCAGCTACTTGGGAGGCTGAGGCAGGAGGATCCCTTGAGCCCAGGAGTTTGAGGTTGCTGTGAGCTAGGCTGACGCCACGGCACTCACTCTAGCCTGGGCAACAAAGCGAGACTCTGTCTTAAAAAAAAAAAAACAAAAAAAAACTATGAACAAATTCCTATGCACACTGCACATACCTTATTTTGAAGTAAAAAAACAAACGTGCAGAAATACCCGCACGTGGCCTGCAGGCTATAGTTTGAGGATGCTTGCTTTAAAGTATGCCCTAACTTGTTGATTATAGGCACTTTGTTGTGCTATCTAATACTGTATATTCTAACTATCTTATTTTTTTGTGCCCTTTAACCATCCCCACTTTATTCCCCACTCCTGTGATCTTTCCCAGCCTCTGGTGATTGTCATTCTACTCTCTTGTCTCCATGAGATCAACTGTTTTAATATTTATTTTAGCTCCCACATATGAGTGAGAACATATGAGACTTATCTTGCTGTGCTTGGCTTATTTCACTCAACATAATGTTAGCCAGTTCCATCCATGTTGTCGCAAATGGCAGAATTTCATTCTTTTTTTGTGGCTGTGTAATATCTACACATGGTTTTTAACACATTGACTGCCACACTACAACAACAAAAAAACCACCAGTGTTTTATCCTTCCTTATTTGTTATTTTTATTGTTTTCTGCACATGAATTATATGCAACACAATCCATGTCTTTAGAATTAAATTGTCAATATTAATTGTAACAGTAAGTACATCAACAAATAAGATTTTCACAGACCAACTGCAGGGTTTTGCTTCATGTGGCCCCGGGCTCAAAACTAGCATGCGTTATACACAATTTGCACGGTACTCAATGTGTTAAAAATCCCATATTCTCTTTATGTTTCATAAAATAGCTTTAAAAAATGACACTTGTAGATATTCCAGCAAAAAACAAATTTATGCAGAAAAGTCCCATCCTAATGTCCTTATATAGTCCAATGCATACTATATATTATTTATATGTAGTCCTTTGATTTCCTAATGAATTATAGTATATTCAAATGTGAATTAAGGCTAGGTTTAAAAGTAGGATTTTCTTTTATCATCAAGAACATGTGATTTTAAATTTCTTATGATTCAAATAATTCAAACAACATGTTTTAAAAATGAACTATGTGTTATAGCATACCAGACCCTGAACTGATGAGTCTTGAAGACCTGTATGCTCATTATTTACTGAACTAAATTTTCCATGTCCTTAGGACACTTTGTATTTTACCTTTATGTTAGATTTACTTATCTTCAATAAAAGATAACGAGACAGACTAATTAACCTAATTTTCCATTGATCATATCATTAGAAAGTTATTCCTTCTGTTGCATTAAGTGGTTTGCTGCCCTTCATCAACCACACAGCAGGCTACGGTGACGATTCAGCTAGTCTAGTGACTTTCACAGCCCTTAGTGTCCATGGTTATGTCTGCTCTTCTATCACTATGCTGAATTATCAGAGTAGGAACTCTACAACTACCTCTAGATGTATATGCCTCAGAAAACGACTGCAGAGAGCTGCAACTTTCTTGGTGAGCGTCCTCAACTCCGGCAGAACTGTGTGCTTTAAGAAGGGTAATCCGCTGTCAGGAACAAGCCATCCCTACATCAGATCAACATGCCTTGAAAAACACTGGCTTGATCTCTACAGATTTCCGTCAATTATATTTTACATGTCAGTGAATAAGGTGAATTTTTAGGATCCACTTTAGTGACATTTTTGTAAAAAATGTTTACGGAAGATTATTTAGGACCTTTGTTGACCTAAGTCCAAACTAACGCTCTACGAATGAAAACCATTACTGCATCATTCCCTTGCCACCGAAGATTCTACACGCTCTTTGCTTTTCTTGAATTCAGCTATCAGTAATAAGGAAAAAGACAACTATTCACCAAAAGGAATTAAAAAAAAATACTTCAGTGGCCAGTACCATTTCCTAGATCTGTTAGCTGTCAGTGTGTTACTTAAAGAGTTTTTCTCATTCTATTTTATTTTACTGAACTGAAAAGCGAACTGAAGAAAATAATTATTTTCTTGAATAAAATTTACATTTTTATCATCTTTTTAATTTCAGCAATACATAAGCTTAATAAAGGAGTTAAGTATTCCATTCATTTATTTCTTAAAATCAGAAAAATACTTTAGACTAAATGCTAAAGTTTTCAACTATATTGTTCATTTCTTAGACTCTAATATATTTTCTCCTTAACTTGTAGACTTCATTCATTGTGAACATTACTTCTAATGGAATGAACTAATACTACTAATACAACTGCTTGGTTGGTTAATTTAAAATACTGGTACTTATTAAAAAATTAGGAAATGGCTTTCATATAATTTCTGTCCTCATATTTAAAATAGAGAGTCTAATTCGCTTGCACTTTGAGTTTTGACTTTTGGTCAAAGGACTAGTTAGAATACAACACTAAGGCAAACTCTTTAAATCTCATTCTATTAATAAATTGACAATGGTCTGTTTTGTTTCTTGTAAAATTTAGAGACTTCTAGATTCTGTTAAAGGAATCAGAAGGGTTTTTTAAATTCTAGAATCTTTTTTTGATTCAGTCTACCTCTATCTCAAAAATATTTTATTAACATTCATGACTATAAAACAATTCACATTTGAATAAACAAAACTTACCACTTGGAGAATGTCTTCATCTTTTGGCATAACACTAAGTTCCAATGTTGTATCACTGAAATTGAATATATATACACACTATTTTAGGGGAGGTGGAAGTGTACCAGGGAGACTTAAAGGAAAAATATTTAACTCTGAAGTATTTTTTAAATTGCTTAAGAGTTTACTGTTTGGCTTTCTTAAATCTCTACTTTTCAAAACCGAATAAATCATCAGAATGAAAAGAAGTCACTTTTATATATATACATAAGTTAACTATGTACAAAGGGGGCACCATACCATATGTTTGTGCTATTCATTATCAGTCAAGTCTTCTTTATAACATGTTTCTAACTTAGAAATATAAAGTATGTTGCTTATATTAAATAGTCCTGGAACAAAACTCGTAACAATATCAGTATACAATTATTTATTGTTTTATTCAAGACACAATATAAATTATAGATTTTTATCACAAGTTCTGTATATGAAGTTAGAAATTAATTACCATAAACACAACCACAAACCCCTCAGATTTAACATTTTAATGTTAAACATCCTAATTTTGAAATATTTCCTCTTGGCCTCAGAGGTGATGGAAAGAGGTTTGCCATCACAACTACTGAAATAACACACTTTAAAAAACTATACAGCATCTCAACTATTTGCCTTCTTCTCTATGACTTAATTTTACAGACTTTAAAGGAATAGCTCAAAATCTTATTTTATTTTGATACTGTAAATTTTCTGTTAAAAATGATAGAGAAATTTCCCTGGGTTTAAAAAGTTCAAAGAGGTAAATGAAACTGAATTCCGTGATCTAGAATTACATTTATTTTTATTTTTGAGACGGATTCTCGTTCTGTCACCTGGGCTAGAGTGCAGTGGCATCGGCGTAGCCCACAGCAACCTCAAACTCCTGGGCTCAAGCGATTCTCTTGCCTCAGCCTTCCAGGTAGCTGGGATTAAAGGAGCATGACACCATGCCCAGCTAATTTTTCTATTTTTAGTAGAGATGGTGTCTTGCTCTTGCTCAGGCTGGTCTCGAACTCCTGACCTCAAGTGATCCTCCCGCCTCAGCCTCCTGGAGTGCTAGAATTACAGGCGTGAGCCACCACGCCTGGCCTGCAATTATATTTAGATGTGACAAAGACAGTGCTACTATCTCCAACTGCTTTAATAGCTAATCTAACAATACCAGATAGATTTTTCCTCTCAGTACAATCAAGAGATTAAGAAACACTCAAATGACAATAAAAAAAAAAAAACAAAATAAATTACTGCTGTCTCTTTTTGATAGATCCGAACCATTATTATTAGGTTCATAAATTCTTAGAGAATGGAAAACTCATGAGAACCACAGGTTCAAATAAATTTAACTAGTAAAATATGTAGGTACTTGTATTTCAATATGTAGAGCTGGCAGAAAATGCATACTGATGTTTAGATAAATTCTTCTGCAAGGATACATTTTTACATTAATACACTGCAGAATCTCAATGGCTTTGTGCTGCATTATACATTTGCTACCAACTGTAGACAAAAGTAACACAATTTTTTAAAAGAAAATAAGATTATGAAAAAAACAGTATTTCTCTAATTTTCAAATTGCTTTAATTGGCTGAAAAATTAAAACTGTCATTCTAAAGTGTTATTGCTCTGAAAGATGAACTGTACCTGTAATAGAAGAATTAATGTGTATTTTGAGGCAAAAAAGATTAAGTTGTGATTACTTGAAAAGACATTATTTTTAAAGAAGAGATTCACAAATACACTAAAAATCCTTAGATTATCAGCTGACAAAACATACTGTCATGTTGATGGTGATCTAAATTGTTTTGAGGAAAAGAAACTTTGGGTAGATCTCCTGCTGCCCCTTAGAGACTTTAAATTCATCAACAGTAGAGACAAGGTTTAAGAGTTGTTTTCTCTAATAATCTCATTAAATATTAAACCATTAAAGAGAATATTCGGAGATCAATTAATCATGCTCACGTCACTTAATTGTAAAAAAATGGCAATGTATTAGGGCATTAGTGTAAATAATTTAGATTTCTGCATGAACTGCTTTAGGCATGGTTAGAGAAGAGCTTGATAAAAATCTTCAGAAAATAACGAACTTGAATTGAATTATAGACAGGTGAATGTGGCTAACAGAAACAATTAGATAATAAAAAAGTTCTTGTGTTTGAATCAGGAAAGAACCTCTTAAAATAATGAACTGGAAGTTGCACCCAGCTTCATGGCCTGGTTTTGACAGAAATTCAATATGGTAACATCTTTTGCTTTTGATTTCTTTATTTGTAATGAAAAAGATTTCTAGTTGTGTAGGTGAAAGAAAGTAAGACTAAATTATCTTTGAGGTCTCACAGTCACTCTATAAATATATATCTACCTTTAGAGCTCAAAAATCTATCATTCTGTAGGATGTAGGCAGACAAGTGGATTAACACAGACTTTCTTGCAGTCTTGGTTAGAACAAAAGAATCAATTTAAGCCAAGATTAGTCAATAAGATACTTAAAAGTAATAGACCTTAGTAAGAGGTTTTAAAATGAACTATGTATACATTTATTTATATATTTATTATAAACAAGTTATACATTTATTATTTCAAATAAAATGAGGAAACAGTGTGCCTGTGTATTATTTCAAATAAAAGGGGGAAACTATGTAAATCTAAACCGTGTGCCTCTTAGACTCTAAGGATTTTAATCATGAATCTGATAAATCTAAGCCATCCACAGATAGCTGGTTCTCGGCAACTTGCATTTGCATCATTCATTGGAAGAGGAAATTCCACATCTCCACGTCACCCCAAGTCCTTACAGGAATACAAGATTATATTAAATCTAGCTGCACTATTCAATTATAAAACCCATCTTTCGTCAAAATCAATCACGTTTCAAGACTCTTACCTGTTCTGAATTAAAGCAATTACTTGGGAATAGGTCTTGCCAATAACACTTTCTCCATTGACTTTTATAATTCGGTCACCTTCAATAAGGAGTAAAAAAAAAAACATGAAGAAAGTCCCTTTTAATACTTACTTTTGAAATATTTCTTGAGTAATGCCTGTATTTTTAACATAGGCTACCTTAAAATTATTATAGTATATAATCATAAAACTAGTATAATTATGATTATCATTTATTATAAAATAATATTAATATCCTCACTGATTTTTAAAGTACCTTTTACAAAAGTGAATCTAAATTCTAATATATCCAGCTTCTTATGAACTATAAACATGCTCTAAACAAGAGTTCTGGCCACTGATAAATTTAGAAATTTCAAAAGGCATACTCACCAGGTGACAACAGCTATACTACTATCTACTCCCTTCTCAATCGTTTCCTGAGCTGAAGAACTACTAGTTATTCCTGCGTTTGCCTGGCCATTTCTGATAGAAACATTATTCAACAGGCTTAAGATATGGATTGTTTTTATTTTCTCCATGTCCTCTGACTTTATATCAGCTGATTTTCTTGGAGTATTCTCCTAATCTGTTTGGCTTGCTGATTAGTCTGTACTGCAAAACTTAAATGTGGGATGCCCGGGCTTTTGACTTTATACATATTAACTTGTTTTGTTTTTTTTTTTAATGGGGAAAAGGACATTGGATTACTCAGAAAAACTAGGAGGAGTAGAAAGGAAAAGACAAAGACAAAGGACAGAGGAAAAAGAGTAAAATAGGACAAAATGTACTTTTTGCGTGCTTATCACAGCATCTCCATTTCACGTTCCCAATCGTGTGAGGCTTAGAATATGACACACTCTACATAAAGGAGTCCCATAAACACACTAACATGCATATTATACATGTTAATTGTACTGAAATTAGGCTTACTTTAAGTAGGATGGAAAAGATAATCAAAGTAGGTAATATATTAACAGTGCATCCTAATAAATCTTAGCAATGATACTATTTATAATACTTGTAGTTAGAAATACATTTTATTCAAAAGGCAGCAAAAGATAGTTTGTTTTTTTTTTTTACTAATTTTCATTTTAAATTGTTTGTTTAAAAACAAGAAAAAAGAGTAACTATTTTGGAGTGTGCACTAATATAAATGAAATCTCTACTTTGTTTTCACTAAAATCACACATTGCAAAATATTTTAGAAAGAAAGAGTTACTAGATCCAGCCGATGAGACAACGCCCACCGACACCTTCAGACTCAAGCCACTCTTTGTGCCACAAAATTAATTCATTCACCTCTGGCAGATCAGGCACTTCCAGAATTTTAGAATCCAAGATTATTTCAATTATGCCAAATAAATACCTTTATCATTTTGTGCTTTTGTAATTCTTTGTCAAAATTCAATGTATGTAAAATGTTCCTTAAAAGAGCATCCATGGTAAGTAAAGGTGCCCACAGTTTATCAATTTATATTGTTATTTCTGTTTAAACCCATCCATATGAGCATCAAAAAACATATAATAAGGTCTCAAAAATAGGAAAAATAGGCCAGAAGCAGTGGCTCACACCTGTAATGCCAGCACTTTGGGAGGCCAAGGGAGGATTGCTTGAGGCCAGGAGTTTGAGGCCAGCCTGGGCAACATAGTGAGACCCTATCTCTACAAAAAATAAGACAAAACATTAGCTGGGTGTGGTGGTGCATGCCTGTAATTGCAGCTACTCGAGAGGCTGAGGTGGGAGGATCGCCTGAGCCCAGAAGTTCAAGGCTACAGTGAGCTATGATTGCATCACTACACTTTAACCAGGGTAACAGAATGAGACCCTCTCTTAAAAGAAAAAAAAAAGGAATAACAGATGTGAAGAAAAAAGCAGCAGCATACAGAAGGACAGAAAAGGAAAAAAATATGGAACGTAAATGTGGAAGAAGAAATACAGTGAAAAGGAAATGAAAAGGTATGGTTTAAAGAAGAATATGAGCACCTGTGCATAATCCAGCTTCAAAAGCAGGTCCCCCTTCTTTAACTTGTTTAACAAATATGGTATCCATTGGTTCCAAGCGGTTTCTTTGTTTTCCTGTCACAGAGAAAAGGCCCAAAGCACAATTTTACTTCACAACATTTTATTAAAACACCAAAATATAAAATGATATTTAATGGAGACAATTAAGCAAAGATTTTTAATGAAGTGTTAGACCCATATCCTGAATTTGGATGCTAAGATGATAATGTAGGGGTTTTCATTAATTCAAACATTTATTTTCCTTATTCCATAACATAACTATAACCACAACACTGTAATCATTTCCATTCACTGGGTACATTCTATGTGCCAATTACTACACTAAATACACACATCTCTAAGCTCATCCCCACAGCAAGTATTACTACCACCATTCACAAAAGAGGAGACTGAGGCTTAGAGAGATCAAATAAGTCTCCCAAGGTCACTGAGCTATCAAGTGCTAAAGCTGATGACACAGACGGTACTCATTCTACTGATTTTGAATACTGTGCTAAGCATTAAGACATAACAATGAATAAGACACATTCCTCTGCTTTCAGGGACTTTGGTAGGAGAAAGACACACAAACAGATGACAGTGTGTTATAAAAAACAGAGACAAATACAAAATACAGTTATGGCAATGAGGAGAGCATGATCAACTCTCTAAGTCAGAAATTTCACAAGCTGTTGTCCATGGATCATCTGCATTAACATCTAAGGCGCTCGCTAAAAATGGGTGTTTTGGAGTCAGACCAGAAATATGCTTTGTCACCAAGTTTCCCAGGTGATCCTAACACACTTTAAAAATTTCAGCACTAAAAGTTTCAGTTGAACAGAGGTCAAGGACAGATGCCCAGATGAGAGCACATTTCAGCTAAGTGATAAATACCAGGGTAAATAAGTACTGTACACAAAAAGGCAAACAGTAGTTCTCCAAGTGTGGGCCCCAGACCAGTGGCATCAGTATCACGTGGGCATTGTGACACATACAAATCTGTGGACCTTGCCTTCGATCTCTGGCATCAGAAACTGAGATGATTGTGATGCATGCTCAAGTTTGAGAACCACTGAAGTAGAAGACACAGTCCTGACCCTTACAGAAGAATATAACTGAGAAAACAAGGCATATACGTTTATGGGGTAATATAATAATACTCATTAAATAGCAGTACTGAGCAGAAAATGATTAAGTGCCAAATACAAAAGATTCATAATTATTGCCATATAAAACTTAATTTTTATCATGCTCTACGCAAAAAGGTGGCCCAAAAGAAGTTTCCTAGTAAAGGAATATCTATCAGTAGCTCCCCTTACATATTTAGCTATTTGATCTGAAAGCAGCCCTCTAAAGCAATGAATGGATAACTGCTCAAGAACAATGGGGTATAGTGGGAATTGCTTGTTTTAGAAGCCACTAGACATGGGTGCAAATCCTTGCTTTGCCACTTGAAATTTTCTGTGTGTGCCAGGCTTTATCTTTCTTCCTAGAACTTACTGCTCACTACCTAAAATTACATTTCATTTGCTTACATGCTTGCTGTGTGCCTCTTCCACTAACATGAAGAGCAGGAATTTCATCATGATCACTGATATCCACAGCACCTAGAACCCTGCTTGGCACAGAGCAGGCATTTAATAAATAATTATTCAGTGAATTAAGACATTTATTACTTAGTTTAATTTGTACAGGCCTTCAAGATGGGCTTTATGATCCTGACATTGTCATTTGACTGAGGAGGAAACAGAGACTAAGTAACTTGCAAAGAGGCAGAGTAGCAATTTGAACCCATGTCTGAAGTCAAATGTGACCTTCCATGCTGCTTCAAAAATAATTGAAAGTAATTCATTTCTCAAGCTTTAGTAAATACAAATAGTCCATTTATAATTAATTTATAAGAGAAAATACTTTCTTTTCAATTTAATTCACTTAAAGTGCAAACACCGAATTCTGATCAAGTTGGTGATCAGGTTAGGTTCCTCTGTGGCCAACCCAACAATTTATAACAGTTGGCATGAAAGGAAAACCATCTATCTTCTTGGCTAGACATCTGAGGGTTTAATAAATTTGTTGTGCCAAGTCATTGCTTTCATGGAACGATTTATATAATAAAAGATAAGAGACATTTTTCTTATGAATGTCTTCTAGTCCACTGTGTCTCAAAGGTGATTATATACTTATATTTAAAAATACAAAATGTAAAATGACTACTAATGAATTCTACAAAATAATAAAAAGTTGGTTGGGTAGCAATGCAGTGACTTCTGAAAATTCTGATAGAAAATTTCACTTACACAGAATAGAGGTGGGTCCAAAATAATTTGGTGTTAAATAAAGGAAATACTAATTTTGCAATGACTGCCGTTGTAAAGTCAGATACTTTGCCATTGACAAATCTTTCAATACACTATGCCTGAAAACATATGAAGATGGAATAGATTAAAATAAAGGCCAATCCTATAGCAAGTACTATTATATCTGCTAAGAGTTACACCCATGATTCTTGCTCACTTTCCTTTCTGAGCTTTCTCCAAAATTCTGACTTGCTACTCAATATTATCCAATTTCTTCTAAACAAGAGAAAAAATTACCCATAAGTATCCCTTAAATATAAGCAAGTTTCAATAGAAAATATACTTCTCTTTAATTTTCATACTCCTTGACCCTTAGTCTTGAGTTAAACACTTGGCTCATTAATTTTAAGAGTATCTTCTTTTTAATATATTGTAGTCTGTAATTCTGCTAAAACTGGAAATCAAAAGTATCAAATTTAAAATATGTGTCATTTAATCTCTTGGGTCTTAGTTTTTGTAAGTAAATGTCTAGATGTGCAAAACTAAAAGCCTGATTTTGAATTGTGATAATTCATCAGGAAAAATGACTCCTTTCTTCCCTGTGTGACTATTTAACAGAGCCAGATGGCTTCCCTGGAAATTCTTAGTAAAAGCTTCTTTCAATTCCATGTCTGTATTTTAAATTTCTTGAGTTTTTGAGAACACATGGGACATGTTTCAAAGAATTGTTAAATACGTTATTCAAGTGTCATTTCCTTGACCTTATCAAAAGAAAAGGAAAATGTGTCTTTTTAGAACATGCATGTAATTAAATCTTTCCTCATACGAAGAAAAGAAAGTAAAAAGATAATGATCCTTACATGGATGAGAAAGACTAAGGTGACCAAGTACAGAAAAAGTCCCATTTTACGTTAGTTAATATATAATTTGTACAGACATAAACAAGAAAACATAAAAAAGCATATAGAAATACACTTGAAATTGAACATTACAGTTGAAATTAAAGAATGCATGTGTGTTTACACTGTAGTAGTAAATATGATCAGCTGGGGAAAAATAACTTTAGTTTTTAAAAAGTTAATTACCTATAGGTAGTAGCTGCTATCTAAATACTGGATGTCCCAGTGGATGTGATTTTTCATCTCTGTATATAGCATACATCAATCGTTAACACTTTGGGCCTCTTAACCGGATTACATGCTTTAAAATCCCAGGTCTACCATTCATTTTCCAAGTGGAGTCATCAGATTTTGCATTTCTTGATAATATTTAAACTAAAAATTATTAGTTGTCTATCTGAAATTCAAATTTAATTGGGCATTCTGTATTTTATTTGGAAACCCTATCTCCGAGTGATTTTGGACAAATGACTTATATGTGCTGTTTGTACTCATCTGAAAAATGAGGATGATGATAATTATTCCGACCCAGCAAGGTTGCTGTGAGGATTAAAAGAGGTAATCCATTAAAGCGCTTACATAATAACTAGCACGCGCCGGTATTTAATGCATTATTACTTGCTATTATGCTAGTCTGCTTATAAACTTTCAGAAGGCTTACATACAGATCAGTGATGACCTAGGGTACACAGAGCTTGTCACACTGCCAAGGGAGCAATAAATCCTGGTTTAAAGAATACCTATAAAACTCAACTGTCATATTATGAGGAAGTCAAGGAATAGAGGCCAAAGAAAAATACATGCAAGAAAAGAAGGTAGAAAGGTAAGAGGGACAATTCCAAAAAAGACTTCCAGTAACTCTGACGCAAACTACACACATGTCTTCAAGGAGACTGTGTCTAAAACACATGTGTCTTCAAAGAGACTATGTCTAAAACCAAAGTGCCACATCTGTAGGCCTGCGGGCTTTGGCAGTCAACAACGATAATTGAAATCTCTCTCCTTCTTTGGAGAATGCTAAAGTCAAAATCTCTTGCAATGTTTAAATTATTTGAAAATTGAAGATATTAAATACACAAAGCAAACAGACTAAGCAAATAGATTACTTACAAGAAGCAGCAAGATTTGAACTATTCCAGTTACAAAAAGGACTCTGCAATGAAGATTTGCAGAGAAATAGATCATTATAGGCCAGGGGATCCTATAGTTCTGGGGACAAGAGAAATGTATTCCTTAACAGACTGAAAAAAATATATACTTTATACACAGAAAAGCCATCTCACATTTTACTCAAAAGTAACGCAATAGAAAATAATGGCTATCACTGAGATTAGGCTTTTGTTTTATTTCTTCTCTCTCAAAATTCTCAAACATGCTTTGAAGAATTTCTTTAATCAAACCAAATCTTCTCTGCTTTTATGAGTTATTTCCCCCCCAAAAAAGTATTCACTGCTTTCTTTGTTGTAAAAAAAACAAAAAAGAAAACCTCATCTCTACACAACAAAAGGCCACTGAAATGACACTTTAGTTCAGTATAAAAATCAGATTAGACTTGTAAGAAGCATACTCTCCACAAAGCTAGGAAACAAAAAGGGTATATCACACAACTGCATATAAAAGCACCAGGCATCAATTGCTTAAGGAAAGTCAATCAAATGGCTTATTGAAATTAATATCTGTTTTTCAGATCAAAAATCATTGAAACCCCAATGTGGACTGAAATATATCTGAAAGTTCAGTCTGATGAAAAAGGATATTTATTTCCCTCTGATGGAGAATGAATACATTACCACAGGAAAAATAGAGCATGTAGACAAATCTATTGGGTGATAGTTAGGAATTGCAGATCCATCAATGCAAAAAAAAAAACAAAAAAACA